ATCTTCTGGAAATGAAGTCACTTTTGCTAAACTTCAAGGCCACTTTTGGAAACGTATAGGTTACTTTCTAAAATCTTTCATGTAATTGTTACTGCAATAAGATGTTGCTTTCACAAACTTCCATGATGATTCTTGAATAAGTTACTTCTGTACTTTCTGTTAGCCTTCATACATCAACCAAACCACTATAAGATAACCAACATCAATTGGAACTTTATTTTTATTGGTTACTTAAGGAAAACTTGAATAATATTTCATTACTTCCTTGAGTTTATGTGTTAGTTTGCAGAAGTTATAGGTGGGTTATTATTTGGAACTTACAGGTTATGTTCATTTAATTTTATTTTGTAGGACACAAATTATACTTTTTCAGGACTCAGACCACTTTTAGTAACTTTATGATTTTGTTACTGAAATTGGACGTTACTCACAGAACCTCAAAGTTACTTTCCAGGAATTATCCGGTGACCTACGTAGAATATACAGGTAATTTTCCTAGAAATAACTGATATCTTCTGGAACTTACCTTGTTACTTCAGACTTGTTACTTAACTTTATGTTGCGTTATTTAACTTCATCTGTATTTTCTTTCCCTTTTTTAATTTCTAAAGTTCCAATAAACTTTTGGGTAACTTTTTCTTTTTTTTTTTCTCTTATTTTATAAGAAAGAAATAACTGAAATATATTAAGAACTTACAGAACTTACAGGTTAGTGTTAAACTGAGTTACTTTATTTAACTCATATGCACAAGTTATTTGTACTTAAAGTTATTTTAACTTCATTAAAGAGGTCACTTAAAGGTTATTAAGAACATTATTGTTTGTTTTTAAAACTAAACGATGTTAGTTTCCATATAAAACGTATACCTTTCTAAGGCGGTCCTGGAAGGGTCGCCAGTCTATTGAAGGGCAGTTAACCAAATCCAACAGTTGCATCTAGAGGTACCAATTTTTCATATATTTTATAGATTTAGAAATAGCTCACAAATTTTTTAGATAATTTTGTTTAAAAAAATCATATTTCTTACGAAGAATTATGTGATTACTGCTGTTTTATGTGGGGGGTGTCTAAAAAAGAAACTTTTGCATTAGTAAATAAAATGTCTGGCATAATAAGTAATATTACTACCTTTTAGCCACTATAAGAACTAAATTCTTTAACGATCTAAATTGAAGCTGTCGAAGTTTACATACCACATCGAGGACAGACTGCATTATGAGGTCTATGTAGACCGTTATTGAGCTAGTCCAGTTGTGAACAGGTCGAACTCCACAGTCATATTTCCTCAGGAGGGTCCTGGTCAGCTGGTTTAAGGTGGATCTCTTTGGCTTTTGCGGCACACCTTCAGCCAGATGAACTAAAAGGTAAAAGTATAGGAAAAATATAAAAATAAGCAGCCAGATAGCTAAAAAAAAAACGTGCATTTATTATATTTGTAAATCTTGTCAATGACCCTGTATACCCCGCACACTTTTTTGTTTTGTTGTTTTAAAGAGTTTTTAAGGTGGTCTACATCCCAGAATGCTTAAAAAATACAGAAACTAACTATTAAAAGGCCAAGCCTAATTATCAATGTTTTTCTTAAGTTGACTACTTTAGATTGCAGCTAAAATATTTTTAAAGCTTAGTTTGAAATATTAATCTCCTTCTCATTTAACTGCAAAAAATCTAATCTAACCTTAATAACATACAGAGCTCATTTTAATAGGCAAAATACAAACAGCTCAAATATTTGTACTACTGGCCTATTATTTATAGGATCCCTGTCTATTTACATTACATAGTGTGTATTAGATTAACAAAAAGAAATTATTTAAAAATTTCTAGAAACTCTCATCTTAAATATAATCTGTATAACCTCTTTTTACATGCTGTAGTCTATCTATTCTCTCTTAATGAGTCTTACCTGACAAAAGCAATGCCATCCAAAAAGCAGACATCATGTGAAAACCAGCCATCCAGATATTAGAATGAATCCAGGAGTCACCTGCAAATGTTTGCTCAGTTAACAGCAAAAATATCCACCGTTGGAGCAAAGATGTTCAGCAGTAGTGAAACTGGGTGACGGGCAGGAACAATGAGCGCCGTCATGCAGACATTTTGGTTTGGACACATATTGATTTCACACAGCACCTGTAAGATGATAGGGATGATAGCGGGACATGCCGAAGAGAAAAAGCAGGGTTTGCTTTGTGTCGGTTCAGCACCTAAGAGGCTTACAGGATCAACTGCAAATGGATGCAAAACATAATAAAAATGGATGAGTTGAACACTAAAGCTGGGAAATTAGTTATTTTAACATCTCTCAAATTAGTCACATGTGAAATTATTTTGGCTATAACACTAAAGGTCTACTCCAGGTAGAACCAATTAAAAATCAGCGGGTTCCGAATAAAGAAAATCATCAACCTGTAAAGGTCCAGAGACATTTTTAAATATAATCTGTTACTTTAAACAGAATGTAACACTGACATAAAATTAGGTGTTTATGCATCCATGTTATACATTGATTTTTTTAAATGAAAAAATATAAAAAATAAATGAAATAGAACATATTCCATTTTAAAATCTAAAGTGTTTTTTTATGTTGAGAAGAACAATCATTCAGTTTGGTTTATAGACAATTTCCTGATTCACATATTTTATCAAACACCTGAACTGAGTGTTTGTTATTTTCTTTCTTTTTTCTGTCTTAATGTTGGCAGTGGGCTTTAGGCTGCACTGCAAGGCTTTAAACCTGGGTTTAAATGGAGACTAAGCCATTCTCAAGCACATATCAAGGAGCTCATTTTGAGCCTGGATCCAGATTTATTGTTGATTCTGTTCATGGTGGAGAATCCTGCTTCACAGCAGCAGGTTGAGCCAAACATCCTCTAAATGTGCAGGGTCATCTTTGAGCACGCCATTTCACTTTTCTTTCACCAGTTCACCGCAGTTCTTCCAGCAGTCCACACTTTCTCTGCTCTCTTTTTCTCATCGTCTTCTCCTTCTTTCCCATCGCCCGGCTTGCCACAGGTTTGCCTGCTGTGTCTAAAAGCAGCAGCAGCAGCAACCCAGACTGACAGCTCATTGGCTCATTTGGATCACGTGCAGCCTGGAGCTGGACGCTCCGGATGGCTTTACCGTATTAAGAGAAGAAGCGGCCCCAGTGAAATTAGAGACAGCCGTCAGACAACATGTGGTAATTTATAAATGGTTTAAATAAGGTCAGGTCCAGATTAGCCAGCAGGTGGGTCTGGATACAGAGTGTGGTCCGCTAATCTGTGACCTCTGGTCTACTCTATGGTATTTTTTTTTTACTATTGTATGTAATAATATGCTATTGTATGTTATTTTGTAATTCAGGATTAAATTCAGGATTCCCTCACTTAACTGTGGAGGGAACTAACTGGATTGTTCTCAGAGCCAAGTGAGGGAAATGGGACTGGGCTTAAACCTCTCTATACTGCCCTTAGTTTTAAGTTTGTATGTGCATCTTTTTTTTCTGGTATACCTATTTTCTGTAGTCATCCAAGAAGGAGAACCTTATCTTTGACAGATTGCCAGTAATCAGAAACATAATACAAACATTCATGCACACACACTCATACTTAGGCATACATTTGGACAGACCGACTAACCAAATATGCCTGTTTTTTAACTGTGGGGTAAAGCTGGCCATGACCACAATAGAGGTAGTATTTTTATTCTCCACAGATCAGAGCACAGTTTGAGAGCTTTCAGCACTTCCTGTTGTCAAAAGGTTCTTTATAGGTAACTGTTGTGGCCATTTATGCTAAATTGTTTTAATTTGTTATTTCTACCAATTAAATTTTTGGCTTTTGGTATGTAAAATATATCTGACTTAATTTAGAACCAAAATGTATTTATTTTTTATATCTGAAATTGTTTGGAGTAAGTTGTTAATTGATAGACCCCCCCATTAATTTGAGTGATAAAGAGCACATCATGTGTTGGTAAATGTCTACTGTTCTAATAAGTTCCAAGACATTTTTAGTAATATTTTTTTTCTTTGCTTTTACAATAAGTCAAGCTGGAAGTGGAAAAAAAAAAAGTTAACTGATTTTTAAATTTTATTTCAGTTTAACATGGGAAAAAAGTCGGAATTCTGACTTTTTTCTCAGAATTCTGACTTTAATCTCAGAATTTTGACTTTAATCTCAGAATTCTGATAATAAAAAAAGTCAGAATTCTGAGAAAAGAGTCAGAATTCTGAGATTAAAGTCAGAATTCTGAGTTTAAAGTCAGAATTCCAAGAAAAAAAGTCAGAATTCTGAGATTAAAGTCAGAATTTTGACTTTAATCTCAGAATTCTGACTGAATTCTGACAATAAAAAAAGTCAGAATTCTGAGATTAAAGTCAGAATTCCAAGAAAAAAGTCAGAATTCTGAGATTAAAGTCAGAATTCCAAGAAAAAAGTCAGAATTCTGAGATTAAAGTCAGAATTCCAAGAAAAAAGTCAGAATTCTGAGATTAAAGTCAGAATTCTGAGAAAAAAGTCAGAATTCTGAGAAAATACTAAACTGAAATAAAATTTAAAAAAAATCAGTTAACATTTTTGTTTTCAGTGGCCCTAATCCTCTTCCGTAACGGCCTTTGTTGGAAATTTTTGGGGTTTTTTTGTTGGAACAGAAGACTGTGACAGGTGCACTCTTTTATTCTAAAGGTCTGATTGTAATCAAGCTTGGCCGTGCCCATTTATATTCAACTCATTTTTCAAATAAAAATAGATAACTCCGCTTAATTATTTAACTTTTAGTGATTTTTAAGACCAGCTTTATGAAGTGAAATATTTTAGCTGGTCTACTGTTTGTATTTTCCTCGGTTATATTTGTTTTATATTAGAATTTGTTTACAAAATCTTAAAGTGTAGCAAAAAAAATTACAATATTTTTGACGGTTCTTGAAGTTTCCTCAACATTCGACTAAATTAGACCACTTTCTGCTTATTGGTGTAGGTTGGTCAGCGCGCGTGGCCACTCCCTGCGCGCGCTCTAAGGAAAGTGACCACGCGCGCCCGCAGCTGGCTGCTCGCTCTCGGTGCGTAACAGATGAAGCCGATTTGACCACCAGTGGGAGAGAAAGAAAGATTGTATTTTGGGGGAAAAGATCGAGGATACATTCAGATTATTTTTATTTTAATCTGCAATGAGAACTGAACAAAGTGAAAATGGAGAAAACTCTACGAAGTCGGTGAGAGGATGATTATAAAACGTGATCCGTGTCTACTAACATTAACCACTAAACCACTAAACTCCTCTCCGCCTTTATTTAGCAAATTTGACTCTAATCCTCCATCTACACTAAAATAAAATCTAAAGATGAAACTCATATTTATGTTTTGAATGTGTCTAACAATGCCAACCTTTAAAGATTAACAAAAACGCATCTGTTGATTATTAATAGACTTATAACCAAGACATTTGTAAATAGAGGACAAATATGCAGCTCATGAAATATAATCGACATCTAGATAAGTCATTTTTTCTTTAAATAAGTGCATTTGTTCTTGGATTGAAGGGGTAAAAGAGACATTTTGCCAATGGAACGAGATAATTTAGACTTATAATAGGAAAACAAAATTGGTTTGTCTTATTTCAAGTGCATAATATCTAATTATCTTATTTTAAGAGTAAAAATACTCACTCCATTGGCAAACTACCTCATTTACCTACTCAAATCAAGGGTAAAAACACTTAATTTAAGAAATTTTTACTTGTTAGATTGTTTTTTTCAGTGCATTATCAGGGCGCAGTGAAAAGATTATGTTCTAATAACAAAGAAATGTTTTTCTAGTCCCCATCATGACATTGCAGTAATTTTTAGAGAGTCATGTTTATATTTAAATCTGGTTCAGCAGTCATCCTTAACACCATAGCAGTAAAAACAGATCTTTCTGGTTATTCATACATAGTACATCTGTTTTTGAAGTGTAAGGCCAAAGCTAGTGTTTAGTTTAATGTGGGATAAAAAAAATAAATAGATAAAAAGGTCTACTTTTATTCCTGTTGGTGGTGATTGTTGGTGGTGTGTGTCTGGAAAAGAGGTGCATGGTGGCATGGTGAGTGGAATGATAAACAGAAGCTTGTGCTATCCATGTCAGTACCCTAAAATAGAGACAAACCAAGTGGGTCTCAGATTGCCCCCTGGGCTCCATATAAGTCTGCTCAGTCTGATCCTGGCTTTCTCTGTGTATGTTTGACGGAGATACAATGACGTGAGCACCTGCTGTCGGGACAGCAAGCTGTTTTTAGCACCTCTCACTGTGCAAAATTAGGTTTTATTTTTAAATATTGTGCATATCTTAGGTCACTGCATGTGGTTTGTGTTAGCAAAGGTCTTGGGGGGGTGGCTTATTTGAAGCAGAGAGAAAACCAGACTCAAACCCTTAGAATTAAAGTAATAGGGAAGTCATATTTAAGTGTCAGACCATATTGTAAAAAGTCAAAAGATTTCTATTAAAAAAAAACTGTCTTAAAATCTGTCTATTTTTTCATAATTTTATGCAGCCCAGTTAGTTATTAGCCTCGTGAGACCATCCTGATCTCGCGAGCTTTCAAGGTTTCACTCGCAGATCAGTCTGGAGACTCTCCGTTAAAGAAGATTTGGAGCCGTTCACCAAACGAACGTCCAATCAGCGTTGGCTTTGAGGCGGGTTGAGGTGTGACGCAACGAGAAGCGCGACAGTTCAGTCTAAAGAACATGGCGGCTTCAGCCGATGAAACTAGCGTTAGTGTGGCTATCGAGCAAGTTTTATCGGAATTACAGAGTATTTCTTCACTGAAAGAAGAGCAAAACACTGCTCTGGAGGCTTTTCTCAGAGGAAAAGATGTTTTTGCTCTTCTCCCGGTTTCGGCTGGTTTCGGCAAGAGTAGCCTGGCTTGTGGTTGTGTTTTCGTCGTCGCTCTGTTAGTACGTCATATGCTTCGTTGATCTGATTGGTTTATTTGGCCCGTCTATCACCAACATAGGCCAATCAGCTAACCAGTATTTTCGCCCCTTCCCAAAATTACTGCAACGGAAGGTTTCCAGATGGATATGCGGAGCAAATCCAGCTGGCGGAGTCAGGTCAGTTAGTTCTACGTCAGCCTGAACACCTAAATTTGGCCAATCATATATCAATGGTCATCTGTCAATCTAATATTTTCGGCCATAGCATCTTGATTCATGTGTCACAGCTAATATACGCAACGGTTGAAATCAGAATCCTTTCCTTTCCCATTGAGTTGCGTCCCAGTGTTCACGGGGATGGACGTCTGTGTCTTCGGAAGGTGTAGAGCTAACAGAACTGGCAGCGTTGCGAGGCAAGGGCTCAAACATGTACGGCTGGAAGCCTTCTACACTAAACCAAGTTTCTGCCGCCCTGGCATCCTCTTCCACAACATCTTCGTCCCCGCTTTCCTCCTCTAAATAAAAAATGAATGACGGAGGAGACTCATCCACGACCTCCGACACTAAACTCTCCTCCTCTTGCATGTTTCCGCTGTCCATAGCGTTCCTTGACAGTGTCGTCTCTAGGTCACCAATTTAGTGCTTCTTAGTCCCGATGGAATTTCCCATTGGGAACCTACTAGCACTAAGTTGCTAACTGGTTAGCAAGATGCTTCCGAGACACCAGCCACAACCAAACTTGCTTGCGAACCTTCCGCCACAAAAATCCTGCTCCTTTTATGAATGACCAATCACATTCACTTTATTCACTCGTGTAACGTTGGGCACCATTCGGGAGAATTCAGAACTGCAACCATTGAAACATCCACTTCCCTTATGACTTTAAATAAACAGGTGTTAACAATTCAATTCAGTTTATTTCTGCCTCGTCATCTCAAGGCACTTTCCAGTTCACCAGATCATCCACTCAAATTGATTCATAGTTTTCTATCTAAGGAAAACCAGTTGATTGCATCGACTCATTGACTCAAAGGCAGTCCCTCACACTAAGCATGCTTGCAGCGACAGTGGAGAGGAAAAACTCCCTTTCAACAGGAAGAAACCTCCAGCAGAACCAGGCTCAGTGTGAGCGGCCATCTGCTGAGGCCGACTGGGGTTTAAGGAGACAGAAGCAGAGATAGAAAAAGCAGCTGTAAAAGGCGGCCCCGTCCAGCCAGGCAGACAAACAAATGTATGCAATAGCTAGCCTGACAACTCGGCTTTTCAGTTCTTCTTCATGTGTAGGTTCTCTCAGGTATTCCAGCTTTTACCCTTCTAAAAGCTAAAAGGATATCATCTATTCAATTATCAATTGCTATTATGAATAAGTATGGTTTTATGCATTAGTTGTGTGTCTCTTTGTGGGCCTATGATGGGCTGAGAACATGTCCAGAATTTACTCCACCTCTCATCCTTAGATCACTGGAGAACTTTACACAAAGACAATGTCCTGAGTAGCACAATCACGTTCAATATCTTGAAGAAATATTTGAAAGGTTCATGTTTTAGGGTGAGATGACAATAAAGAATAAGGCTGCAATCATTATTCCAGGTTTTGGGTGTGAAAATGTAATTTATTATGAACCTTTTAAAATTTCTACAAATTTTAACTTGGAAATAAATGTTTTCAGGCAAAAAAAAAAAAAAGAAAGAAAAAAATAACACTAGCTACTAGTTCTTAAGCTTATTGGTGGTAGGATCATGACATGAGCATGTAAGTGATCCAATATCCAGCTACAATTATGTCAGTGAAAAGAAAATGAAATTTAACCTAATGCTGGTGTTCTATGTTTTGGTCTGAATCAGCAGCATAGAATTAATTATTAATACATTCATCATTTACCCAATGATCCAACCCTTTTGCGTTGCACTTGGTGTATTGCTTGGACGCAGCTTCTGGACCATGGCAACCCATTCTATGAAGGTCTCTGCTCTCTGCTCTTGAGCTAATCTAAAGGCTTCATGAAGTTTGAAGGCGTGAAAGGATTGACTCTCCACACTTCAGCATCCACTGTCCCACTCCATCAGTTTACATGGCCTACTACCTCCTGGCTGTGTTGCTGTCATTTGCAAACACTTCACAATTTTTCTATGATACAGCTGAAAGTTGTGGTAGATGTAGGAGCAAGGACATTTCCTGACTGAATTTGTTTCACGTCCCATCAGTTCCACCCTGGAATTCCCTGAGCCCCTGAGAGTGACCTTTTCTTTTTGCGAATGTTTGTAAAAACAGTCTGCATGCCTTTGTGCTTGATTTAATACACCTGTGGCCATGGAATTGATTTGAACACCTAATTCCAATAATTTGGATTGGTGAGCAAATACTTTTTTTTTCAAAGGGAAAGAAATTAGCTGGGGGGAAATAATTTTAGCCTTTTTGTTTTGGACTTAAGCTTCTTTTTATCTACTTTTAGCCCATTTTGTATCAAGAGTATGTTTTATTTTTATTTAGGCACTTAAAACCTAAATCAACTAACATCCTATGAAATCAACAGATGAATAAATATTGACCAAATGTAAAATCTGTTTGCTTTCTTTATTTGCTAAGCAAATACTGTGCAAAATGTGGTTAGTGCTCCAGTAGAGGTGGTTTTAGACTAAATCTACCAGAGAGGCCAGGATGAGGCCAGTGTTTTGTCATATGGGCAAATAACAACATGAAACAAAAAGAAAACAGAGCAATAGTTTCTTTACTTGAAACTTCCTTCATTGTGAGACGCACAAAAAAAGAGCTTTATCTGCTCCCAGATAAAGCAGATAAAAACTGATCTTATCTCATCTGGACTAAAGATGAAAGTACCACATCTTAATTTTTAAATTACTGTTGAAATTACCTGTAAAAATAAAGATAATAAATAAATAGATCAAGGGGACCAATCGATTACATTTCTATGTCAACTTAAATCATCATAACACATTTATTTTGTATCGTATTGTCAATGCAGATGTCATAACAGGGGCCTGGACCAGTTATAAAGGGGCTTTGGCCCCTTCTTTCTTAATTGTAGAACCGCCTATGGGGTCGGGTCCAGTTAATTGGAAGCTTTTGGACCAGAAATTTGTCACAATGTTAAAAAATAAAGTTGAGGTTATTAGTAACTATCCCATACTGGGTATATATATATATTTTTTTAGACATCTGCTTGAGAGGTGCATATAAATAAAAAATCTCTTTTTTTTTTGTGCCAACAGCTGAAAATGCTGATGGAGCAGCTGAAGGAAATCACCGGGGTCCAGGACCAGCAAGTTCTCTTCAAAGCCCTGAAGGTAACATAAAGTCAGCAGTAATAACTGTCATAGTTTTATCTAAAGCTCAGACCCACATGCAGAGAAACCATTATAGACAGACGAGGGGAAAAGGTTTAACAGGTTTTATTGAAGAGATAAAGCACGGTGCAATGTTGCTCTGAACTCTGCTCAGCCGGAACTGGAAGGTGAGGGGAAGACACAGCGATTAGTTCAGGCTCAGTGGGAAATTTCAATCGTGGATATGGAGAAGAGGATCTGGTTGTTGACTCGCAGTTGTAGAATCTTTGACTTCAATCTGTGTGCTGTATTTCAGTGTTAGTCTGATTCGGTGGAGGGCGGAACAGGGTTTACCCAGAACACGGTCGGTTGTAGGTGAACGGAGAAACTGACTGCCACTCAGATTTCCTGCGGGTACTCGAACGGGTCGTAGTGGAGATGATTCCCTTGCTCAGTGTGTAAACTCGACGTCCTCTCTGGGAAACTGGATCCAAACCTCCAGAACTCAGTCTTACTCAGCAAAAACTCAGCTTGGCTAGAGTACCCAAAACTGGCAAACACTCTAGCGTCGAGGTAGTGGCAGTCAGCAGCTTAAGAGCACTCCGTTAACAAGGTAACCATCAGCAGGTGTGTGAGGAGGCGGACCAGAACCAGGCGCCTCCTGTTGGAGGAAGGGAGACAAACACAAAAAAAAACAAAACACACAGACTAGAGCCCTGACAATAAAGAGTCATTTCATGCAAAAAAAAGGTTAGGAGAATACTTCCTATAAGCACTGGTCTCCTCCTTCTGATGTCTATCTGTTTGCACTTAGGATGTGAGAAAGCAATCCTGTTGAGGTACCAGACAAAATCCTAATTTAGGTCATAACAAACAATAGTTCCACCTTTTCATATTTGCAGTTTTACTGGAAAATAAATAAAAGTTTCAGATGGCATAAATTAAGAAAATAATAAAGTTACCAATGCCTGCGTATGTGCTCAACCTAAAACTAATGCTTTAAAGAAGCAATATTTTAGTTGAATTATAGCGTTTATTGTTCTTTGTAAAGAGTCCATTAGCAGTACACATCTTGCTTTGATCATCAGACGTAATCTGCAATGGTTCTCTATACCTGTCACATTGTTAGAACATCTTACATCCGTCAGGTCACAAAATCCAGATTCTGTTTTTAACGGGACATCTTGAATCTGCTCTAAATTGGAATTATATTTTCAGACATTTGCATGGACTTTACATCTGAAAAACCATACAATAAGAAAATATTTGCATTATAAATTATGTTACGGTATATACATTTTGCTTCTCTTTCTTTGTGATTTAAGACATTTTCTGCAAAGGTTTTGATTTTGCTTTCGTTTGAAGGCCAGCCAGGGGGACGTTGGACATGCTGTGGGACTACTGACAACCCAGAATGTGGAGATTCAGGATTCTGCAGAGCCTCAGGAGTCAGGGACATCTGCAGAGACCTGGGACAGCAAGAGAGGTATATTCAGACAGGGAGCGCTGCGCAAAGACACATCTATAGGACGTCTGTTCTAGGTCACTTTTGATCCTCTAAGTTTTCAGTCCCCTGAAAACACAGAATGAAATGCCAGAATGAGAATTCTTGGTTGGTCCATCATCTCTCCATGTTATTCAGGTCATGTAGATGATGGACTGAACAAAACTCTTGGAGGTATTCAAAGTTTGGGTCGTTTTTTAAGAACCTACTCCTTCTCTAAACCTTTGCAGAACTTTCCTACTTACCTCTTTGCCGGGGTCCTTGGTCTTCATTATATTGTTTTCTGATTTTCTCTAACAAAAATCTGAAAATAGGTGAAGATTTACCCATATTTGGACTTAGGCCTGTGATTCCTAAAAGCGGATGGTTGCAGTGGATTTTATTTTAGGATATCAAAGTTAATGCATGCCTCATTTTTCAGATTGTCTTTCAGAACTATAGAATATTTTTTCTTCAGCCTTTCACTTTGAATTTTGTTTTGTGTTGATGTGTCGCCCCAAAAAATAAAATAATACTACCCCCCCTAAAATACATCAGAGTTGGTAAGAAAATGTAAAAAAGAGGCATGCAAGGAAATAATAAAAATTTTAAACACATTTTAGGGATAATGAAGACAAAACAGACTAACTTCATTAGATAAATCCAATTCAAAGCTTCATAAGTAACATGTATATAGAAGAAGGATCAATGTTGTTCTGTGTTTCTTTTGAAGGACTTCCCAAAGATGAACTGCAGACGGCCATTGAACTCAGTTTGCAGGAATCCCACAACGCAGAGCAAGAAGAGCGAGAATTCAACAGGTAAGAAGAAAAAGATTCACAGCCAAGAAACTGTGCTCTATGATAGGCAGGCTGCTGATTTTATAAACCATATACTGAGCAAGGAAAGTACTAAACACTAAAGATAAAGAAATATTTTAATATTTATTAATGTAGAATTAATTGCGTCTGAATTTAAAGATAGCATGAAACTGATAGGGTTTTTTTCACGCTTGTTAAAAAATAAACAGAATAGGTTTAATTCAGTTAATCTGTTTTCTGATCAGCTTGAAAAGTTGAGTCTAGGCAACTGAACGTGAAGTTTTCTAAAAAATGTTTCGCTTCTTATCAATCAATGAGGCTTCTTCTCTTTTAATTAGTGTTTTGGGAGGACTGGAAATAATATACTGTAAGTATAACAAAGGAATTAGAGGAAAAACAAAAGGGGGCTCTGATTTCTCCAACAGGATGGGCCATGGAGGTCACCATTCCCATCCAACCATCCATCCATCTTCTGCTTGTCTTGGGCCAGCTCCTCTGGGGAAACCCCAAGGCGCTCCCAGGCCGAGAAACATAGACCCCAGAACTAGGGATGCACGATATAATCGGCCCCCTATTGGTATCGGCCTTAAAACTGAATATCGGACATCGGCCACCCCAACGATATTTAACCTGATATTTGATCAGCTTCTGAGTTTCTAAAGTCAAAAACTTCTTTTTTACAGACTTAAAAACTTCTAAAGACGAGGGAAAAGATATTGATACATTAAAATATCCCAATATCTTCATATGCTGATATATTGCCATTTAAAAACACCATATCAATCTCTTTTACTAATGAAATATTGCTATATGTCATCGTTATGCTACGAAATCCCCTGAAAATTCACGAAATTTTGCCATATTTTTATATGTTGATATATTGACACGGTATCGATCCATTTTACTAACAAAATCTCACAAGAATTTGCAAAATATCACGAGAGTTTGTAACAGAACGATGAAATTTCACGAGATTTTGAAAGTAAAATAGATCGATACCGCGTTTTTAAAAATCAATTTGATATTAGCATAACAAAATATATTTGAGTATATTATTTTTCAAAGTGTCAGAAATGGATAACAAAACTGCTATTTTCAATGACTACTTATTTTTGTCCAGCTTTAACATCGGTTATCGGCTACATGAGTTTTAAAATATCTGCATATCGAATATCGGCCAAAATTCCAATATCGTGCATCCCTACCCAGAACACCACACCATCATAATCATAGAATTGCAGTTCCTTATGTATTATTTGTATTATTTTGTATTATATGATTTATCTGTGATTCTATGCGATCATTAGAAAAAAACAACATAGAAACCTTCAAATTCTCTGAAACTAAGGATATTCACATTATGCAGGTATGAAGTGAGTCTAGTCGCCCCCTCAACGTGGGAAAGACAGGAAAATAAGGCCCTGATCACCTGGATTGTGTTAACTTTTGGATGAATTAGATAATATAATATACATAATATGCAGCCGAGTGTGGGGTGTCTGGTATAAGGATCAGCACCTCCAAATCCCAGGAGAGTGGAGAGTCGGTGGAGAATCCTTGGCTCAAGTGGAGTTCAAGTATCTCGGGGTCTTGATCACGAGTGAGGGATGGATCTACTGTAGTGTGAGATTGATAGATGGATCTGTGTGGCGTCAGCAGTGATGCGGTCGCTGTATCAGACTGCCGTGGTCAAGCGGGAGCTCAGTCGGGGGGATAAAGCTCTTGATCTACCGATCGCTCTACGTTCCCACCCTCACCTATGGTCATGAGATCTGGTTAATGACAGAATGGAAGAGATCACGAATACAAGCGGCCGAAATTAGTTTCCTTAGCAGGGTGGATCGGCGCACCCTTCGAGAACGGGTGAGGAGCTCAGTTACCTGGGAGGAGCTGGGAGTAGAGTCGTTGTCATGTTGAGGTCTAGGCGTCCCACATGCAGAAAACACTTTTTCAGACAAGGGAAAAAGTTAAATGATTTATTTAACAATGTTCACAAGCAAATGTGCATAGGTTCAGGGTTCGTCGGATTGGTCACGGGAGGGAAGCCACTAGAGGAGGACAGATCTGTTAGAGTGGATCCAGGAAACTTGCAGTTCAACTGTGACTGGGATTTATACCTGCTCAGAGGGTTATCTGATCAGCAGGGGGGGAACCTTGTGGGTCCAGAGGCTGGTCGGCAGGCTGAGGGCAGAGGCAGAGACAGAGGCGAAGGACAGACAGGCAGGTTCCAGGAAGCGTTTGTTTCCTCCAGGATCAGGCAGGTATCCGGATAAGTCAGGTTCTGAGAGGCAGAAGAACACAGGGTCAGACTGTTAACAAAAATCAGATTTCAGATCTGAGGGGCTGGCTCAGGTTTTGCTGTACCATTACTGGCAAACACTCTGGCAGGGAAGTGTCAGCCTCCTCCTCCTTAAGTAGGGCTCCTGATGAGCAGATGGGAAACAGGAGTCGAAGTCAGCTCATGCCCTCAGGAGAGATCTCGTGCGCCCTCTGGTGGAGAAAGTAGACCAACCTCCAGATCCCAACAGTCGTTGCTTCTCCACGTCGAAAGGAGCCAGCTGAGGTGGCTCGGGCGTCTGTTTCCTCCTTATCGCCTTCCTCAGGAAGTGCTCCAGGCATGCCCCATTGGAAGGAGGCCTCATGGAAGCCCCAGGACACGCTGGAGGGACTATGTCTCTGAGCTGGCCTGGTGTCGCTTCGGGGTCAACTCAGAGCAGAGACTGCTGACTCCACGACCCGGCCCTGAATACAGAGGGAAGAAAATGGATGGATGGATGGATGGATGGATGGATGGATGGATGGATGGATGGATGGATGGATGGATGGATGGATGGATGGATGGATGGATGGATGGATGGATGGATGGATGACATCCTACCTGGGTTTTTTTCTTTTTTGTTAGTAAGAGTATTATTTTCTTTCTGTCTTTTCTTTAATGTTCTGTAAAACACCTTGTATTGCCTGCAATAGTTAATTAATAATGAAGCAGTTTCAGTTTTTCCCTTCAGTTGGTTCCTTTGCATTTTTATTTTATATTTAATATGAGTAAATATGTTATGCTGCTTGTGTCACTATAAATAATGAGGTGATTTGCCTCTTCAGGAAAACTATATAAAGCCAAAGCTGATCTATTTCTGACCCCACAGAAATTAGATGTCTCTCTCTCTTCTCTCTGGTTTTAACAGCAATGGTGGGGAGGATTTATAAAAAAAAAAACAGTGGAGAAAACAGCTGATGCAGCAGTTTTTTTGTTGAAACATATTCATGTGTTTTGGATTTTTTTGTTTTTGTTTTTCAGTTTTTTTTGGTACGGCTTAAAGTGATGACTGAAGGTACTTATTAATCTGCTCATGTGGTATTCACAAACTGCCCCTGTTTCAATGTTGCCACATTACCTTGAAAACATCCAGGTAGTTTTACCATTGAATGCATTTGGAGGATGAAACATAAAAAATCAAAACAACACAAAAAATCATTCAGTTGCTGAATGCTTTGTGTGATGTCACTGAAGGCAAAGCAAACTGATTTAAGGGAGGGAACCTTTTCCCCTGACAACATAAAAGCAAATGGAGCAAATGTCAAAAAGAATATAAAAAAACTAAACTGTCAAACAGCTAAAAAAAAAACATTGATGGTGGTGAAATCTCTTTTTCATGTTTTGTCAGCATCCAACAGATTTCACCTATTTTAAATCATGTAAAAATACCCTGATTATTAACACCTTAAACCGCTGATTAGGAGTGCAATTATTTTCTAATCATTAAAAATCCACTTTGTTTTTACTGTAGAGGTCAGTTTGATTCCTTTTGAATAACAATTTGTCGCCCAACAGAGCTCTGGAGGCCAGTGCAGAAGAAAATGCAGTGAGAATGAAAAGAAAGAGATGTGAAGCGCAAAGTGAGATGTGCAGCCCTGCAGACTGGATTCGTCAGGACGACTGGCCCGTTGGAATCCGCAACGTAGGAAACACCTGCTGGTTCAGCGCTGTCATCCAGGTGAGTAAGCAGCACATGCTGCATTGTTAAATATAAGATGAAATAAAACTCTGGGAACACAGAAGCAAAGTGGCTCTGCAAACAACCAGAGCTGCAACTAATAATTATTCTGCAAATCGATGAATCTGTCGAATATTTTTTCGATTAATAATCGGATAGTCAAAGGTTTTTTTAAGGAAGATTTTTTTACAAAGTTAAACCAGGTGAAACTAAACTTTTCCACTTGAGGAGTTCTGGATTGAGCAAATTGATAGACAACTTTTATTTTTTCATCTTAATGCAAAATATTAATATGTTTTTTAACAATTTTGATATAATTACTGCTCTGAGTCAGTTGCTCTGTCAGCTAAAGACATATTTTACAGTCTCTATACTCCAGTTAACAATTAACCGATTTCTAAATTAGTTAACAATTATATTAATAAATAATTTATCACAATTAATCCGATTACTTCTTTCAGCCCTACAAACAATAGTAAAGGAAAGCCAAAATTTCAAGATAACAAAGAACATGTGTCTATGATTGCACATACTAGGTCAGACAGGAAATGAAAGATGCCAAACAGCCCTTTTTTGCTTTGCAGCAATTAATTAAAAAATGTTTTAAAACATATGTTTAACAAGCTGTCAGACTTAGAAAGTGAAATAAACAATACATGCATAAACATAAACGCTACAGACATAATGTAACCCTGGTTAAGCTGTATAGAAAAATAAAATAATTATCATCTTAATGAAAAAAGTATATATTCCAACCTTTAATTTCAGTGAATTCTTCAATGTGAAAAATGTTTCCATATCCTATATAATACATGTAGGCTTCATGATGTAGCCTACCGGAGGGTTTTCTATAATTTATACTAATGATAACATCAGAAAAATAGTTTTACCTGAAAGAAAAACCAAAAAAGCAAACAAAAAGATCTTGTCTCTTGAACTGTATGATTTTACCAGCTTAACAATGGAAAGGTTGGCAAAAGAAAAGGCCCAAAGCTATCTGTTAGAGAAATAGGTCTCCTTAACAACTACTACATACTATCTGCAGACCCAGTCAATGAATTACAGTATTTTTGATAATTACAATTATTTTAGTTATCCTTTTTGTGTTGTGAAATACGTTATATGGATTAATTACGCACAGAAGGATGTTTTCAACCCTTGGTTGCTGTTAGTTATAATGATTTTCTTCTTACAGCTTAAGAAAATATATAATATAAACACATCTAGGAAAAAAAAATCAAATTTACTTAATATGATGTAAATGTAAACAATTTATTTAGGCCTTTTTTGTCGGCTTTACTGGTCCTTTAACAAGAATAAGACTAAAAGAGTCCATCGGACTGAATTCATATAAGATTTACTGACAATTTTCATACACAGTCATGTATCAATAATCAGATTTGTGATCAGTTGCCTTCCCCAGAAACACATTAGGATGTGAAAAAGAATAAGCTGGAATTAAACCGGCAACTACTTCTCCGCAGTCACCCAATGTTAGACATGGAGGAGGATGTGTAATGCTGGGGGAGCGTTTCACCTCTAAAGGTCCTGAAAATCTTGAAAGACTGAAAGGAAACTCTTTCAAATGCTACTTTAAACAATAAACATGCTGGTTTCTGCCAAAAACCGGTCATGGAAAAACAGCTACAAAATCAACCGTCCCCATGACTTTCTAAGATGTAAATCCAAAAGAATTCCTCTGAAAGGTAAGCTAATGAGTTCATCGGAGTGGATCCATGACTCACGATTATCTACATTGATGCTGTCCTGCTAACTTTACTTTTCTCTGTTTGAAAACACAGGAATCACATGATTAGATCGTTGGCAGTATTCTAAAAGCATACTGTTAAAGGAATAGTACACCCAAAACATGATTAGCCTTCATTTTCTACTCACCCCCATGCTGAACAACACTCTGGAGTACTTTTTTGATATCTCAAATGCATCTGGAGATCTGGGAGGCTTCTTGCTGTCTGCTGACATTCAAATAATGGAGGTCTATGGCGCCCGAGACAGAAAGGTCCATAAAAGTCCGCAAAAAACGTGTCAATATTCCTCCATACTGCTCGTCCAATGTATTCCAAGTGTCCTGAGTGGGTAGCATCCAGAATTTACTCGAAACGAAGTCATTTAGAATGTTTTTAGAGCATAAACAGTAGTGTATAGGATTTCCTGAAAGCACGCGCCCGCACGTTCACGACGCTACGGAAGCCGGCAGACCAAACCAGATGAAAGTGCGCATTCAGCGTCTGCTCTGCCGATAATGCAAGCGTAGAAGAAGAAATGTGCTGTTTACCTGTGCAAAGAAAGAAACAACGAAAGAAAAATGTCTGAGGACTTCAGTGTTGAGGAAGAGCATGAGTTCTTTGCCGAGCTGAATGCGCACTTTCATCTGGTTTGGTCTGCCGCGGCTTCCGTAGCGTCGTGAACGTGCGGGCGCGTGCTTTCAGGAAATCCTATACACTACTGTTTATGCTCTAAAAACATTCTAAATGACTTTGTTTCGTGTAAATTCTGGATGCTACCTACTCAGGACACTTGGAATACATTGGACGAGCAGTATGGAGGAATATTGACACGTTTTTTGTGGACTTTTATGGACCTTTCTGCCACGGGCGCCATAGACCTCCATTATTTGAATGTCAGCAGACAGCAAGAAGCCTCTCAGATCTCCAGATGCATTTGAGATATCAAAAAAGTACTCCAGAGTGTTGTTCAGCATAGGGGTGAGTAGAAAATGAAGGCCAATCATGTTTTGGGTGTACTATTCCTTTAATGTAGTTGTGAGACCATCCTGATCTCGCGAGCTTTCAAGGTTTCACTCGCAGATCAGTCTGGAGACTCGCCGTTAAAGAAAATTTGGAGCCGTTCACCAAACGAACGTCCAATCAGCGTTGGCTTTGAGGCGGGTTGAGGTGTGATGCAACGAGAAGCGCGACAGTTCAGTCTAAAGAACATGGCGGCTTCAGCCGATGAAACTAGCGTTAGCGTGGCTATCGAGCAAGTTTTATCGGAATTACAGAGTATTTCTTCACTGAAAGAAGAGCAAAACACTGCTCTGGAGGCTTTTCTCAGAGGAAAAGATGTTTTTGCTCTTCTCCCGACTGGTTTCGGCAAGAGTAGCCTGGCTTCAATTTCAGTTCAATTCAGTTTATTCATATAGCGCCAAATTCACAACACATGTCATCTCAAAGCACTTTACAGTTCAACCAGATCATCCAGTCAAATTTATACAAAGTTTTCTATCTAAGGAAACCAGTTGATTGCATCGACTCATTGACTCAAATACAATCCCTCACACTAAGCATGCTTGTAACGACAGTGGAGAGGAAAAACTCCCTTTTAACAGGAAGAAACCTCCGGCAGAACCAGGCTCAGTGTGAGCGGCCATCTGCTGAGGCCCACTGGGGTTCAAGGAGACAGAAGCAGACATAGAAAATGAAGCATAGATACAAAAAGCAGCTGTAAAAGGCGGCCCCGTCCAGGCTTGTGGTTGTGTTTTCGTCGTCGCTCTGTTAGTACGTCATATGCTTCATTGATCTGATTGGTTTATTTGGCCCGTCTATCACCAACATAGGCCAATCAGCTAACCAGTATTCTCGCCCCTTCCCAAAATTACTGCAACGGAAGGTTTCCGGATGGATATGCGGAGCAAATCCATCTGGCGGAGTCAGGTTAGCATTGGACCAATGTGGCAGCTAATTATCACTGCCTCCCTTAAGATTAAAATTTCTGGCCTACTTGCAGCAATACTAATACTTAAGCAGCTAAATTAGAATTTATTTTCTAATATTTGATCTCTCCAGAAGAATATTTGTAGAATTTATTTATTTTTTCTTTTTATATCTACTTGTCAGGATGAATATTTTGATTAAAAAGGGCCAGAGGCTGCAGAAGCACAAACAGCAGGGCTGCCATTATACAAACAGAAACCCCACATGCGGGCGCAATCATGTTATTATCTCAGCTGTGGAACAAAAGCAGATACAGTTGTCCAAAAATGTAAGCTTTTAAAAAACTAATTGGTTAAAAAAAACTCAGTTTATTTGTATTTCCCTTTTTTTTTATTTGTTGATCAATATCATTGAGTCTTTTACTAATCTCAGAAACCCTCAAGGGTATCATTGTTGTTTTTCATGTTTTTGATTTTGTGCCCAGCATGACTTCCAACTTGTAGGGGTGAAGTGGCAACAAAGAGATGTTGCTCAAATTTCCTTCTCATCAGTACTTTGTGCTAATGAGGTTAAAAATCGACCTGAAAAACCAAAAGCAGAGGAACGGCCCTCTGCTAAATTAGAGCAAACAGTTTTTATCTCAGCTGCTAACTGTGTTATAAGTCCATTCCAGACTGGACTCAACCAGGGATATCAAGTGGCGCAACAGAAACCAGAAACCCCCTCTGAGGTACTGCAGGCTGTGCGGTTAATTAAACAGGGAGTGATGTGAGGACGTCCAAAGCAGATGGACAGGGGAGACAGTGATTATATGTCTGTTGAACCGAGATAGGCTTCTGCTCCATTAGACATTAGGTGATATTATCTAAAGAGGCATTGGTAGAAACTGTCTTTTGACTTTCCGTTCAAACTGCTTCTTTGGAGTCTCATCTAAAAGGCATCCATGCTATCAGATCGAACTCCAGCGATAGCAGGATTCAACAGGCAGCTCATAAATAAACAGTAAAACTTAGATAAGCTATAACTGAATTTCCTTCTCAAATGACAATACTTAGAAACCTCCTTAACTTACCCACCAATGTAGCAGGGTTATTATGAGCAACCCAAGTATCCGGTAACAAAACTGAGCTGGGTGTTGGCCTTTAGAATAAAAACCATTAATATTTGGACTAAAACATTGCAACCTGGGATTTACATAATGTATTTTTTCTTTTAGCCCTTCAATTAAATTAAACTCAGCTTATTTATATAGCGCCAATTCAGAACACATGTCATCTCAAGGCACTTTACAATTCAACAAGATTCAGTCGTATTAATTCAATCGCTGCACTCGGATGATGTGGCAAACCAGTTGATTGCATGGACTTATTAACTCGAAGGCAATTCCTCACACTAAGCATGCTTGTAGCGACAGTGGAGAGGAAAAACTCAGTTTTAACAATTAAGAAACCTCCACCAGAACCAGATTCAGTGTGAGTGACCATCCGCGGAGGCTGACTAGGGTTCAAGGAGACAGAAGCGGACATAGGAAGAGAAGCAGAGATAAAAGAGGTAACTGTAAACCGGCTCCACAGGCGACCCCGTCCAGGAAACACACAGCCAGGCAGACGAGCACCAAGCCAGCTCCCATGTCAGAGGATGAAGAGAGCACATCCAACCAGTCACATTCAGAGAAACAGGACTACACTGAAAAACAGGGCCGAGCTCCAACATCTATAAACAAAGATGTTGATGGCAGCAGCACAGCTGATATTTCTCTCCAGGATGGAGTCACAGCCAAACAGGAACAGACCAGATGAAGCTACTATGAGAAAAAGCAGAGAGAGCAGAACGTTAGAGATTGAACTAACAGATTCTGCAGAGTGGGAGAATAGAGATAGAATGAAGCAGAATGATGAAAAAGGGGTCCCTATGTCCTCCAGCAGTCTAAGCCTATAACAGCATCATTCGAGTGGCAATGAGGAAAGTCATTGTTAAAAGAAATCCATAAAAAATCTTGGTTTTCAGTTTTGCCCCAACTGCAGTAGGGGACAGGTCTCCAGAGGAGACCAGAATTGAACTTTTAGGCTAACTAATACTGTTCAACACCCTGAATGAAAGACTAAGATTAATGTGAAACATATTTGTGGCACCATCATTCTGTGGAAAAAAAAAACATCTGTTTTCTTAATTTTTTTAATCTAAAATCAGCTAATGATATTAGTCGTGTTTATAGAGTTAATCCGATACTAAATCTCATAAATTCCAACTCATTCTGAGGTAAAATAATCAAAATGTTGCATTTAATCTCAGATACACTCACTCCAAAAAGTGTAATCCAGGTATAGTCACCACGATGTTGCTTTGTTCCATGTATAAAGCTTTATTTCCTCTAAGAAACATGTCCTATTAAGTCAGTGGATATTTTATTTTTCCATTCACCTAAATTTCATTTAAGGTGGACTTAATGTGGCTTGTTTTGTGATTTTGTTACAGTCTCTGTTCCACTTACCCGTCTTCAGGAGGCTGGTTCTCAACTACCGTCTGTCAGAAGAAGTTCTGGAGAGGTGTAAGAGCCATGCAGTGAGTAACGGCCAAATTTATATATATATTTTGTCCTTAAAGCTGGTTTCCATTCGAAAAGCATCTCATGGTCTTTAAGCTGATGTTAGACTGGGTCTTTGTGACAACAGGACAAGAGGAACATAGCCTTCATGCAGGAGCTGCGGTGCCTTTTCGCCCTGATGGTGGGATCAACCCGCAGGTTTGTGGATCCCTCTGCTGCGGTGGAGTTGCTGCGGGAAGCCTTTAGGACGAGCGAGGCCCAGCAGGTACAAAACACACATACAGCTCTTTTTTTTTTATTATTGCATTCTAAGTGTTTCAACAAACAGTGTCTATCATATTAGACACAGAACAGAACAAACACAAAACCTCCATGACAGCTCTTACATGGCAGATGAACATATAACATGATGCAAAAGGTGGTGAATCAGTCTTATAATGCACATATACTGTTCAGGCCCACAGCAAACCTCTTCATTGATTGGAGGGGAGGTCCAAAAGACCGCCATGTTGAGCCTGGTTCTGCCAGAGGTTTCTTCCCAATGGGGAATTATTCCTCTCCACTGTCGCTTCATGCTTGCTCATTATGGACAGCTATGAACAGGACTATTCTTTAGTCCTGTTCATGCATATCTATCAAAATTCAGCGCTATGTTTTCTGCCGAGGTCTGAGCGCCACAGACTGAGTAATTTTTTCGATAAATTTCTTTTAATTCTCTTTTCTCTTCATGTGAGTCTTTCTGATTGAACTGGTCTTCGCTGTGATGCATGACATCGGTTAGATATTCCAGAGGAATTTGTTCAAAAATAATTTTACTCCAAGCACAGACAGAAGGAACTTTTTTCACTGACCCACTGCAGAAGAACATTTTCTAGCTGCAAAGGTTAAGATATTGTACAGTCTGTTGTTGGCTGATCATAAAGCTCTTTAATGGAAACAGGAATGCTGATTAACACTGAACCTGAAGATAAAAACCGACTGGTTCATGTCTCGGACACACTGGGCAACGGATATCCAGCGGCACCTCGTTATCAGTTTTAGACCAGCTTATCTTTCTAGTTTTCCAGGAATATGTTCCCATTGCTCCCAGAGGGGAATTTAATGAACGTCCTGCATTGATACAACTGCAATCCTAACCAGACAGATTGAACAACATTAGGAGTGTTTTAATGTGAACAAAATGTCTGAAAGGTGTAACATCTAATTTCTTCCAGAGCAGGACACTCACTCTGGCAAAAGCAGGACTCTAACATATAACATGCTACACTTATCATGAGCAACAAGTGTTTTTTAGTTTTTTTTTTTCATTATAAGTGGGGCAACTCATTTTTATGAACAGTATGTAATTGAATATGGTGCTCTTATCTCTTATTCTTAAAATATACGATATAACTTTCTATGATCCCAGGTTTATAACAAGTTTGATATTGGTGTGTGGCCTGAATGTGCACATCTTGTGTTAGCGGTCGTCAGTGTACTCAGGAGGCTTGTGTGTATCCCCAAACAAATGGAAACAAGTAAAGGGAACATTACCTGTGTCTCTTTATTTTGCCTATTTTTTGCATCTATTTTCCCCACTTCTTAAGCCTTCAGTGAGCTTTCGTTTTTCAGTTGCTCATCATTTTTTTTTCTTTTTTTTTTGCAATCCTGCCATTTGCTTCCTTGTTTACTAGCTCCTTTTTATTAAATTAAATTCTCAAATTCAAAATGCTACTTCCATTCTCCTTCCGGATTATGAAAACATTTTACACAGAGTCATCAAAACAGGACAATAAGATGAAAAAAAAAAGATATTTCCTGTCAGCTCAAACCTTCAGATGGTCGGTTGGTATTTGGCATAATTGACATGGAATCAGATCTGCATGGCGGAGCTGTTTTGTAGCAGCAAGAAGGTTCCGGGTTTAATTTGCGGTCAGCAGTCTTTCTGCATGGAGTTTGCATGTTCTCCCTGATCATGCATGGGTTCTCTCCAGGTACTCCAGCTTCCTGCCAGAGTTCAAAAACATGACTGTTAGGTTAATTGGCTTCTCTGAAATTGTCCTGTGTTTGTGCGTGTGTGCATGGTTGTGTGCCTCTGTATTGCCCTGCAAAAGACTGGAAACCTGTCCTGGGTGCACCCCGCCTCTCGCCCATAGACTGCCGAACATAGGCACCAGCCCCACCGCGACCCTGACAGGATGAACATGGAATCATAAATCCAACCTAGATTCATAATTTCATAATGTTATATCAACATTTAAGGCTGCTGCTTGCAGTTTTATGGCATTATGGGTTTTTTTACTGAACACTTTTGATCCCTTAGTACCTATAGCTACGGAAGAGGATTAGGGCCACTAAAAAAAAAGAAAAAAGGTTAACTGATTTTTACATTTTATTTCAGTTTAACATGGGAAATAAGTCAGAATTCTGACTTTTTTCTCAGAATTCTGACTTTAATCTCAGAATTCTGACCGAAGTCTGACAATAAAAAAAGTCAGAATTCTGAGATTAAAGTCAGAATTCTGACTTTTTCCCCATACTATACTGAAATAAAAGTGGCCCTAATCCTCTTCCGTATATAGCAGACTTGTTCACAAGTAATTTTTTGCATGTCCAAGTCAAGTCTCAAGTCTTGAGAAGGCCTGTCACAATTATCAATTAATCGTACAAAAAATTCTAATCACTCGATTAATTAAAATAAGTGCAATAATTTGCGTGCTTGCTTGTTTCTCCTTGTGTTTTCATCTTCGTCACTGAGACGGTATAGCTTAAAGGTCGCTTTTATATCTATGGAATGATCATTATCTTGAACTGGTAAATGAAAAATACAATTTAAAAAAGGACACACGCAATTTTTTCCCCAGTTAAATTTTGTATTAATTAGGATAGGTTCTCAGGTATGTTGTAACCAACAGGATGGTGTATCGGTCAGGATACAGGAAAGAGGACACGAGACCAAACTTCTCTCGGGATGTGAGCAGGTTTATTTATCGTGATGCTCAGTGTTGCCAGCAGTCTGTAATAACAAGTAAATTACTATTAGACTAACATATTACAAGAACAGAGGTTTAACTAATACACTCAAATAAATATCCAATAAGGAATAAGCTTAACCATTTACTTTGCGTATAAACCCACAACATATAAATAACTCAATCCACATAAAGGTTACATTATTAGGCGCAGCCTCTATGATAAAACACGAACACAGACAGCCCTTCGGCTCAGTTGAACATGAAATGTACTTAAACACTATTTAACTGCATTTCGGTTGTATCTGTTCTATTTCCATTGAGTTATTGCAGCATTATTAAAAGCCTGCACTGCCAGCTGCCACCGTTATGCAGGGATTTTATTCAGCCACAAGATGGCGCCAAAGGACAATAAACCTATGAGGACCAAGCAGGCTCAACTTAGTTCCATCGCTCAGAGCCCCTGCAACATCACATACCCGTCCTCTCGTGGCTTAACACATATAACGACTGAATCTAGAATAAACAAACAGCACGCTAGGTGCGATAACTTACGTTTTGTCGTCAACTTAACACTCGGAGCATCGCTCACAGAACCTCACCAAGAATGCGGTCGCACGTGTCGAGAATGCAGCGAACTGAAACTGAAAGTATATCAACTACTATCCTGAGAGGTGGCGCAGCACCAAAAACCGGAGCTTACGTCACTTCCTACGGTAAACTAAACCAATATTACAAAATAAAATACAGGAATGTCAGAGCCTTTTATACAGCCGCCCCCAAATGTGGTTACACATTTGCTAAACATAAAAGGCACTAAGTTTGGGGGGGTGACGGGCTGATCTTCTCAGTGTCCTTCCCTTCAGCTGGCACAGCTGGTAAAACAACCAACCGAGCAACTGGCCTAGTGTAGACATGTTCATTAACTCGCACGTCCGCTGATCTGACGAGTCCATCGTCGCTACGATGAATCTTGACCACATGACCTATCGGCCATTAGGCACGAGGCAGCTGGGGATCCACAACCATAACGATTGCATTCTGCAGAAGTCCAGGAGGATTTGATTGCCATTTGTGTCTCGTCTGTAGTCCAGGAAGGTATTCTCTGATGAACCTAGCCCAGAAGTGATCAGCAAGAATCTGTGAATGCCGCCAACGTCTTCGGCTGAGGTTTTCTATCTCTGGGTAGACCACCTGAGGTAGGGATCCATCGGGTCGCCCCATAAGGAGACTATTTGGGGTCACAGGGTCAAGGTCAGCCACGTCAGTTGATACATAGCCCAAAGGCTTTGAATTCAGTATGGATTCCACCTCCAGAAGAACTGTGAGAAGTACTTCCTCCTGAAGAGGTTGGGAACCCACACAGCTTCGGAGGGCCGCCTTCGCTGAACGAACCTCTCGCTCCCACGCTCCACCAAAATGTGGGGCTGCTGGAGGGTTGAATCGAAACTTGATCTTCTGGGGGGCTAGCTGCCCCTGTAGCGTTTTGGACATATTGGCAAAGGCTTCTCTGAGTTCTCGTTCACCTCCCTTAAAGTTGGTCCCACAGTCGGACCATAGCTCCGCAGGCTTTCCTCTTCTGGCAATAAATCGTCTCAGGGCCATAAGGAAAGCATCTGCATCCAGGCTGCTTAGGAGATCCAAGTGTACTGCCCTTGTTGTCAGACACTTGAAAATAACACCCCAGCGCTTCTCCTGCCGTCTTCCTATTTTAACAGTCATGGGCCCAAAACAGTCCACCCCAGTGGAGTAAAAGGCTGGCTTGTATAACCTGAGCCGAGCGGCAGGCAGGTCAGACATCCTCGGGATGGAGGGTTGAGCCCTCCACCGCTGGCACTCCGGACAGGTGCGCTGGTATTTCCGTATTGCTTCTCTTCCACGCAGTATCTAGTAAGATCTCCGCAGCTCTGCGAAGACCCGTTCAGAACCTGGATGATGGAGGTCAGTGTCATATTTCTGGATAAGAAGACGTGTGAAACCGGAGCTTACGTCACTTCCTACGGTAAACTAAACCAATATTACAAAATAAAATACAGGAATGTCAGAGCATTTTATACATTTTGCATCTTTATTTTTTTCTTTCAAAAACAACAATTTTCTTACAGTATTTACCTGACATTTGTGGTTACAACTTTTTCTAGTTTTAGGAGAAAATGTCTGCTCTTTTATTTTTAAGTGAAAATGAGGGCTGTGAAGAAAAAAAAACAATCACAATCCTGCTTTTTATTAATACATATGAAGTTAGCAACTACAATAGATAAAGAAAAACCCTAAATAAATACCAGGACGATAACAATTCTTTCATAAAAGAAACTTTGTGGCAATAACTTTTTGTAACTTAATGCCCTGGAACAGACAGAACCGACTTGGCGGGCAGTATTTTAAATTCAATTCAGTTTATTTATTTAGTGCCAATTCACACATTTTTCACAACATATTTCTTCTCTACGACTGCGTTTTTTTTTTTTTTTTATCTCTGCTGTGTGCGGGTAAGGCGAGCGGCGATCAGTCAAGTTAGTAAAACAAAAAACACTTAAAAATAAAATATTAGGGATGCACGATATAATCGCTCCCCTATCGGTATCGGCCTTAAAACTGAATATCGGACATCGGCCACCCCACCGATATTTAACCCGATATTTCATCAGCTTCTGAGTTTCTAAAGTCTAAAAAGAAATAATAAAAAATACTACTTCTTCTTCTTCCTCAAAAACTTATTTTTTACAGATTTAAAAACTTCTAAAGACGAGGGAAAAAATATTGATACATTAAAATAACCCAATATCTTCATATGCTGATATATTGCCATTTAAAAACATGATATTAATCTCTTACTCTTACAAATGAAATGTTGCTATATGTCATCGTTATGCTACGAAATCCCCCGATAATTCACAAAATCTCACAAGAATTTGCAAAATATCACGAGAGTTTGTAACAGAACGATAAAATAGATCGATACCGCGTTTTTAAAAATCAATTTGATGTCAGAAATGGATAACAAAACTGCTATTTTCAATGACTACTTATTTTTGTCCAGCTTTAACATCGGTATCGATATCGGTTATCGGCTACATGAGTTTTAAAATATCGGCATATCGGATATCGGCCAAAATCCCAATATCGTGCATCCCTATAAAATATTGTTCACAAGTCAGAAATCACGAGTCTCAGTTGAGTCTGAAGTCCTTCAAATGCAAGTCTAAGTCGAGTCTAAAGTCATTAAATATGCGACTTAAGTGCGACTCGAGTACGAGTCACAAACTCGAGTCCCCATCTCTGACCTATAGAGCGTAATTTAGCACCGCTGCCTACTGGTGGTGACCCTGCCATGCCTTTTATAACCATAGTTTACAAATCTTCTGATGGCTACTTCTAACAGGATAATGCATGATGCCATAAACCTCAGATCGTCTCCAAAAAGTCTCTTAAAAAATATCAATGAATTTGTGACCCTGACAGCCATTTGTGATAATGGACAAAAAATCCTGAAGGAGGAATTCCAACTATCAGTCGTTAAGCTTAAAAAAACAATATGGTTTCTTACTTAAAATAAAGGTTTTAGAGCAGCTTTGTCAAAGTTTGAACTTGATGTACATTGCAATACTATGTTTTATCTGAAACCAGGCTGTCTGTGCTCAAAAACCCTTCTGTGGTTCATCCAAAGGGAGACTCAATCACTGTCTACTATGACAGAAATTTGAGGCACAAGCTGTCATTAGGTTTAGGAGGCCATTACTTTTCACATTGGGTAAGGTTGGATCAAATAGCTAAAATTATCATTTAAAACTTGCTTTTAGGTAGATAACCCAACAGAAAATACAAAAAGCAAGTTTTAGATGATCATTTTTGTTAGAAAAACCAAGCTTGGCATAGATAAATAGATAAGATAGATATATAGACAGACAGATCTTAAATGTTTACTTTTTCTTATTTTCAGGATGTCAGTGAGTTTTCCCACAAATTGCTCGACTGGTTAGAGGATGCGTTTCAACTAGCAGCAAATGGAACGTAAGTCAGTAGTTAGAGCTGTCAGCATCAGCCAGGACTGTTGTTCTTCATGAATCAATGGACCAAATATAACTTTCACATTAATAATCAGGAATGCAGAAGACAAGCAGCAAAACCCACTGGTCCAACTTTTCTACGGCACCTTCGTGACAGAGAGGCGACATGAAGGTATGTCTCTATAAGACTCCGTTTCATCATGCTGTCGCCCACTGAATGTTTGGTTTCTGTGCATTTATGTGTTTGGATTCAGGCAAGACTCTGTACAACATTGAGCAGTTTGGTCAGTATCCTCTGCAAGTCAATGGCTTCAACAACCTTGATGAATGCCTGGAAGGCGCAATGGTTGAGAAGGAGATCGAATCGCTGCACTCGGATCATGTGGCAACATCTGGACGAGAGGTGAGCCTTTTAAATGAATAATTTTAGTAAAGATTAAACACTGATTGTTTTGTAAATACCTGCCCCTCTAAGAATCTTTTGTCTTTTTCGGCCTGCAGAGATGGTTTAAAAAACTGCCGCCGGTCCTGACCTTTGAGCTGTCTAGATTTGAGTTCAACACTCAGCTCGGGCGTCCTGAGAAGATACACAAAAAATTAGAGTTCCCACAAATCGTCTACATGGACAGGTAACCGAGACTCAGGCATCTAATTTGATCTAATCTTACAGAGACACTTTCAAAACTGCATCTCAGTAGATTTTATTTCATGTAATTATTAAATATATTTTAAATATTCATTAAATATAAAATATTTTATAAATATTTTATATCTAATACCCAGTGCAATAACTATATATATATATATATATATATATATATATATATATATATATATATACTAATTTATATGAATTCAATTCAGTTTATTTCTATAGCGCCAATTCACAACACATGTCATCTCAAGGCACTTTTCAGTTCACCAGATCATCCAGTCAGATTGATTCAAAGTTTTCTATCTAAGGAAAACCAGTTGATTGCATCGACTCATTGACTAGAATGCAATCCCTCACACTAAGCATGCTTGTAGTGACAGTGGAGAGGAAAAATTCCCTTTTAACAAGAAAAAAACTCCAGCAGAACCAGGCTCAGTTTGAGCGGCCATCTGCTGAGGCGGACTGGGGTTCAAGGAGACAGAAGCAGAGATACAAAAGGCAGCTGTAAAAGGCGGCCCTGTCGAGTAAACACACAGCCAGGCAGACGAGCTTTGAGCCAACTCCCATGCCAGAGGACGAAGAGAGTACATCCAGCCAGTCACGTTCAGAGAAACAGGAGAACACATGAAAACAGGCCGATCTCCAACATCTATAAACAAAGGTGTTGATAGCAGCAGCACAGCTGATATTTCTCTCCAGGATTGAGTCACAGCCAAACAGGAACAGACCAGATGAAGCTACTGTGAGAAAAAGCAGAGAGAGCAGAACGTTAGAGATTGAACTAACAGATTCTGCAGAGTTGGAGAATAGAGATAGAATGAAGCAGAAAATGAAAAAGGGGTTCCTATGTCCTCCATCAGTCTAAGCCTATAGCAGCATAACTATAGAGATAGCTATAGTTATGATTTAATTGCCTGTATAATAATGCTGTTGAATAAGAGACTTTCAGATATATATATATACATATGTATGTATATATATATATACACTATATTGCCAAAAGTATTTGCTCACCCATCCAAATTATTGGAATCAGGTGTTCCAATCACTTCCATGGCCACAGGTGTATAAATTCAAGCACCTAGGCATGCACACCGTTTTTACAAACATTTGTGAAAGAATGGGTCGCTCTCAGGAGCTCAGTGAATTCCAGCGTGGAACTGTGATAGGATGCCACCTGTGCAACAAATCCAGTCGTGAAATTTCCTCGCTCCTAAATATTCCACAGTCAACTGTCAGCTGTATTATAAGAAAATGGAAGTGTTTGGGAACGACAGCAACTCAGCCACGAAGTGGTAGGCCACGTAAACTGACGGAGCGGGGTCAGCGGATGCTGACGCGCATAGTGCGAAGAGGTCGCCAACTTTCTGCAGAGTCAATCACTACAGACCTCCAAACTTCATGTGGCCTTCAGATTAGCTCAAGAACAGTGCGCAGAGAGCTTCATGGAATGGGTTTCCATGGTCGAGCAGCTGCATCCAAGCCATACATCACCAAGTGCAATGCAAAGCGTCGGATGCGGTGGTGTAAAGCACGCCGCCACTGGACTCTAGAGCAGTGGAGACGCGTTCTCTGGAGTGACGAATCGCGCTTCTCCATCTGGCAATCTGATGGACGGGTCTGGGTTTGGCGGTTGCCAGGAGAACGGTACTTGTCTGACTGCATTGTGCCAAGTGTAAAGTTTGGTGGAGGGGGGATTATGGTGTGGGGTTGTTTTTCAGGAGCTGGGCTTGGCCCCTTAGTTCCAGTGAAAGGAACTCTGAATGCTTCAGCATACCAAGACATTTTGGACAATTCCATGCTCCCAACTTTGTGGGAACAGTTTGGAGCTGGCCCCTTCCTCTTCCAACATGACTGTGCGCCAGTGCACAAAGCAAGGTCCATAAAGACATGGATGACAGAGTCTGGTGTGGATGAACTTGACTGGCCTGCACAGAGTCCTGACCTCAACCCAATAGAACACCTTTGGGATGAATTAGAGCGGAGACTGAGAGCCAGGCCTTCTCGTCCAACATCAGTGTGCGACCTCACAAATGCGCTTCTGGAAGAATGGTCCAAAATTCCCATAAACACACTCCTAAACCTTGTGGACAGCCTTCCCAGAAGAGTTGAAGCTGTTCTAGCTGCAAAGGGTGGACCGACGTCATATTGAACCCTATGGATTAGGAACGGGATGTCACTTAAGCTCATATGTGAGTCAAGGCAGGTGAGCAAATACTTTTGGCAATATAGTGTATATATATAGCTGACGTGACAAGTACATTTTTTCACTGTAAGATCGATCAAGTCAATCAATCCAACCACCAATCAAAAACTTACATGATATCCCAATACACATAGTGCAACATATTTCAAGTCCTAATTAATCCTGTTTACTCTTATAATCTGATATTCAACGTTGCCAAGAGTAAAAAATCATGGAAATAAACAAAAATTTTATCAAACTGTGAGAAGTTGGTGTATAGGAGTGGAATGAATGAGACAAAACAACTTTCCTAAGATGTTTTTTTTAAAGGATTATATTTTATTTCACAGATATCTTCATAAAAACATAGAACAGACCAATGAGAGGAGAGGGGAAGTGAAGAAGCTTAAGGAGCAACTGGCCGTCTTTCAACAGAAACTTGAGTGGTAAGAAACTTCCAACACGCATATGTATTTACGATAAATTGAACTTGATCCGCTAGATTATTATAATTTAACATGATCCAAAAGGTGATCAAAAAGGCAAAGCTATTGTTTACAATTACAAAAGTCTTGTAAACAGTGATTCAAAGGAAATCAAGACATATAACAAACTGAAAATTATCAGACCTAGAACTTAAAGGTACTCTGGAGGATTTTAGCGAATATTTGAAAACTACGACGGAGTATTAGGGCCACACATGAAGAGAAAAAATATTTTTGCCATGACGAGTTTAAACTCGACATGTCGACTTTAAAGTCGACATTTCGAGAATAAAGTTGAAATGTCACGTTGAGTTTAATCTCGACGCGTCGACTTTAAACTCGCCATTTCGAGAATAAAGTTGATATATCGTGGCGACTTTAATCTCGACATTCCAAAGTTTCGAGAAAAGAGCAACCGCGCTCCACAGCTGCAGTCTGCGTTTGGAGAAAAGAGCACAGGCGCCGCGCACGCCTGTACTCCACCCCTTCAGGATCAAGCAACTTGATCAATTGTCTTATTGTATTTTGCGATACAACATAACCTCTCTGTATTGCACGCAGATGTAACCATCGATATCTTTGCATCTGCCTATTTCCAGCAATTTCAGTATGCAAGAATGCGGCCATTTCTTCCAAGTTTGTATGATTTTTCCTTCTGAACTGATGATGTTTTCGCCACAACCTTTTTAGCGTCCTTACACTAATAATCACACTGCGGTTCTGGGCTAAAAGACTGAGGATTTCCTTATTGCTAAACCCGATTCTAAAGTACAATTTGACCAAATCATCTACACAAGGCATGTCGGATTCTGGATTCTGTGCATGTATCCTGTGCAGCGGTTGGCTCTCTTGAACTAATTTCAACTTTATTGTTGTCACGTCGAGATGAAACTCAACATGACATTTCAACTTTATTCTCGAAATGGCGAGTTTAAAGTCGACATGTCGACATTAAACTCAACATTTCGAGAATAAACTCAACATGAGATTTCAACTTTATTCTCGAAATGTTGAGTTTAATCTCGACGTGTCGACTTTAAAGTCGACACGTCGAGATTAAACTCAACATGACAGTTCAACTTTATTCTCGAAATGGCGAGTTTAAAGTCGACAGGGCGAGTTTAAAGTCGACACATCGAGATTAAACTCAACATGACATTTCAACTTTATTCTCGAAATGTTGAGTTTAATGTCGACATGTCGACTTTAAAGTCGACATGTCGAGTTTAATCTCTTCATGGCAAAAATATTTTTTCTCTTCATGTGTGGCCCTAATACTCAGTCGTAGAAAACACCCACCCACTCCACTTAAAAAAAAAAAATGCACATGCACAACCCTGTACCCGATCCCGAAAGAGAACACCTATTAAACACATGCGAGAGCGTCCCCGAGCCCGTTACTCCTCTTACACTCTCTGTTTAAAAGTTGCTGTTTGCATCGCTCATGCAAGCTTACTTTCCAAAAGAAGATTTACAATTTTCCACTATGTCAGACTCACCACAGATAAGTGAAAGCACGTAGGACGGCCTTATGTAAACATATCACCAGAATGATTGTCATTTTGCAGGACTACCTATTTTGATGATCCACCTGGAAAAAGAACATCCTCCGCTATACCTTTAAAATTAGAGAACCACATGCTGCAATTCAAAACCATGATATTAAACAGAGAAACTAAAGAACAAAGTCTAAAATTAGATGCAGCAGGCCATCATAGCTCTTCATGAACATCCTTTTTCTCTGGTTGAAGTTACAAGAACTATGGCTCAGGACCTATGAAGTATCCTCTGGCCGATATGCTTCAGTTTGTTCTGGAGTTCGCCTCCACCCGACCCACCAGCGTTTCCCCGGCTGAAGACCCGAGACTCGCATCGTCTTCGCCGACTCCTGCAAACCCACCCGTCTCTGAAGCCGTTGCCAAAGACAGCAGGTTTAAACAGCTTTTTTCCATATATGCAAATACAGACAAACACCACAGTTAACAGTTAAGATAAAGGCTGTTTCTGTAATAAGTGTAGAAAATCTATTACTGACACCGGAGCTGAAGCAGACTGATTTTTTCATTTTTTTTCCATCAGCGAATCTGGAGATAAAGACGTCTCAGACGACCTTTTCTCCAGTGTTTCCAGCTGCCAGCAGACGCCCATTTACAAGCCTTTCACCCAGTGTAAGCACCCATCTGACTGCCCACCACACCCAGCGCCTCACAGCGCCACTGAAGAAGAGCTGCACTTTGTTAAGACCTGCCTGCGACGCTGGAGGACTGAAGTAGAGCACGACATAAATGGTACACCAGTGAAATCCCTCCTAATATCTATCCCCAAGTAAGAGAATGGTTTTAACTGCCGATGGCCTCTCTTCTCTATAAAATGAAGAATGAATGGGACTTTGAATAAAATGCAGTCTTTTCACATGCAAAGTTCCACACAGAAATCAAGCTGAATCTTTCCCAGTAATCTTTTATTTTTTCATGGCTCATGAAATTTCAACCTGGACAGGGTCTGAAGGTACACTACGAAGTCAAACTTCTGACTTCTTGGTACTGCATGCATATAACCTTCTAAATGCTTGCAGAGATTATTTTTAGTGTCTTTTGTCATAAATAAAGGCCGGTATCAGTATTGACTGTGCATATGCTCCTTCGGCAGTGTGCTTAAGCTTCATAGTAGGTTCTGCTGGAGGTTTCTTCCTGTTAAAAGGGAGTTTTTCCTCTCCACTGTCGCTACAAGCATGCTTAGTGTGAGGGATTGCTGAAGAGTCAATGAGTCGATGCAATCAGCTGGTTTTCCTTAGATAGAAAACTTTGAATCAATTTGACTGGATGATCTGGTGAACTGTAAAGTGCCTTGAGATGATGTGTTGTGAATTGGCGCTATAGAAATAAACTGAATTTAATTGAATAGTATACAAGTAAAACTTGGGGCACCAAAAGCCCATTTCAGAAGGTGAAACTCTGATTTTATATTGATTAATTATTTATTCTTCATATGCCCTCTCCTCTAAATGCTCTTAAATTAACTTAAGTAACTTTCCTGTATATATATATATATATATATATATATATATACATATATATGTATATGTATATATATGTATATACATATATATATATATATATATATATATATATATATATATATATATATATATATATATATATATATGTATATACAGGTGACCGGGGTTCGATTCCCGGCATGGACATCCAGGTGGACCCTTAGGCAAGGTCCTTTGTGCTTAGTGGCCTACCTCAGGCATGAGTGATACCGCAAATACAAGAGCCATACCGGCTCGGACGTCGTTAACAAGGTCCGCGTCAGTTGCTAGGGAACCAGATTTGAACCAATTTGATGACAAATTGGCTACTGGACTAGAGCAGAAAACTTGGTAAATGCTACTATACAAGCTACTATACAAGCATGCCCAGTGAGAGAGGTTACATGCAGAGACTATGGGAATTATGGCAGCTCCAACAACCATTGCCATCATTGACAAAGAAACAACTACTAACACAGTGTTCCAACATCCGCAATCGGCAGCCTTTCACAGCTAGAAATTGACGAGGTACAACTGACATGCTGCAGCAAGGGGGAGTCACTACAACAGGTCAGTAGGGGAATATCATCACAACAGGCCCACTAAACGTAAGGGCAGCTGACCTGCGACATGAGCCCACTACCAGGATCAACAGCAACGACATTGGGATGTCATTCGGACTGGACAAGTGCAGTCGCATGGTCTCAAAGAGAGGGAAGATGATCAGAACCGAGGGGGTTGAACTACCAGAAGGCCACATAACAGATGTTCAGGACAGCTACAAATACCTTGGGGTGCCACAGGCTAACGGAAACCACGAGGAGATGGCAAGAAAGACTGCCACAGCTAAATACCTACAAAGAGTAAGGCAGGTCCTGAAAAGTCAGCTGAATGGGAAAAACAAGATCCAAGCCATCAACACATATGCCCTACCAGTCATCAGATACCCCGCTGGTATAATAAACAGGCTACTGACATCAAGACGAGAAAGCTCCTCACAATGCATGAAGGGTTCCACCCCAAATCCAGCACTCTGAGACTGTACACCAAGCGTAGCGAGGGAGGCCGAGGGCTAGTGAGTGTAAGATCCAGGAGTACATCAGATAGATGGCCCCCAAAGACAAATGGCTTGGTGAGTACCTCAGGCAGGAGAAAACCGAAAGTGAGGACAAGAAAGAGGAAGGAGAACCATCATGGAGGGACAAGCCGCTGCACGGCGTGTACCACAGACAAATAGAAGAAGTGACTGATATCAAAAAATCCTACCAGTGGCTGGAAAAGGCTGGACTGAAGGACAGCACAGAGGCACTAATCATGGCAGCACAAGAACAGGCACTCAGTACAAGATCAATAGAGGCCAGGGTCTACCACACCAGGCAGGACCCCCGATGCAGACTGTGCAAAGATGCCTCTGAAACAATACAGCACATAACAGCGGGGTGTAAAATGCAGGCAGGAAGTGCATACATGGAACGCCACAACCAGGTAGCTGTCATAGTGTACAGGAACATCTGCCATGAGTATGGGCTGGAAGTCCCAAGGTGAGAAAACAGTTTTATATATATATATAACACATCAGGCCAAATACCACATTTACACCCATTTACATTGGCACTCAGAGTACTGCAACACCCTCAAAACCCCCAATTATCATATTTAGCATTGAGTTTGAATATATATATATATATATATATATATATATATATATATATATATATATATATATATATATATATATATATATATATATATATATATATATATATATATATATATATATATATATATATATACACTCACCGGCCACTTTATTAGGTACACCTGTCCAACTGCTCGTTAACACTTCATTTCTAAGCAGCCAATCACATGGCGGCAACTCAGTGCATTTAGGCATGTAGACATGGTCAAGACAATCTCCTGCAGTTCAAACCGAGCATCAGTATGGGGAAGAAAGGTGATTTGAGTGACTTTGAACGTGGCATGATTGTTGGTGCCAGAAGGGCTGGTCTGAGTATTTCAGAAACTGCTGATCTACTGGGATTTTCACGCACAACCATCTCTAGGGTTTACAGAGAATGGTCCGAAAAAGAAAAAACATCCAGTGAGCGGCAGTTCTGTGGGTGGAAATGCCTTGTTGATGCCAGAGGTCAGAGGAGAAAGGCCAGACTGGTTGGAGCTGATAGAAGGGCAACAGTGACTCAAATAACCACCCGTTACAACCAAGGTGGGCAGAAGAGCATCTCTGAACGCACAGTACGTCGAACTTCGAGGCAGATGGGCTACAGCAGCAGAAGACCACACCGGGTGCCACTCCTTTCAGCTAAGAACAGGAAACTGAGGCTACAATTTGCACAAGCTCATCGAAATTGGACAATAGAAGATTGGAAAAACGTTGCCTGGTCTGATGAGTCTCGATTTCGGCTGCGACATTCGGATGGTAGGGTCAGAATTTGGCGTCTACAACATGAAAGCATGGATCCACCCTGCCTTGTATCAACGGTTCAGGCTGGTGGTGGTGGTGTCATGGTGTGGGGAATATTTTCTTGGCACTCTTTGGGCCCCTTGGTACCAATTGAGCATCGTTGCAACGCCACAGCCTACCTGAGTATTGTTGCTGACCATGTCCATCCCTTTATGACCACAATGTACCCAACTTCTGATGGCTACTTTCAGCAGGATAATGCGCCATGTCATAAAGCTGGAATCATCTCAGACTGGTTTCTTGAACATGACAATGAGTTCACTGTACTCAAATGGCCTCCACAGTCACCAGATCTCAATCCAATAGAGCATCTTTGGGATGTGGTGGAACGGGAGATTCGCATCATGGATGTGCAGCCGACAAATCTGCGGCAACTGTGTGATGCCATCATGTCAATATGGACCAAACTCCCTGAGGAATGCTTCCAGCACCTTGTTGAATCTATGCCACCAAGAATTGAGGCAGTTCTGAAGGCAAAAGGGGGTCCAACCCGTTACTAGCATGGAGTACCTAATAAAGTGGCCGGTGAGTGTATATATATATATATATATATATATATATATATATATATATATATATATATACATACATAAAAAATATGTATTATGTAAAACAAGTAACAGAAAAAAAAAACTAGTGGAGCTCCTGAGCAGCACTTTGAGGCAATGACTGAAATCAGGTGTTTTCTGTAATGTCCAGGAAATGTTCATGATTTCTGCAGCTGTTGACAGGTTGGTTGTTGGTTCACTGATCATGAGCAAGTTGCTTTAATTTGTCTGAGACAGTTTGTGCTTTTTTTAAACAAAAATTCCAAATCAATTTTAGATTTTACTGAAATATATTTTAGCAAATTTTTATTTTGTATTACTTTTTCCAGTTTTGTGTTATTTTAATTCCTAGAGTGAATTGGTCATTTTCTTTCATGGAGGGGGGGTATGTAAAATGTCAAGCAAGACTGCATGTAATGAATCTTTATGATTTCTGAGTTTCACTTTCTGTAAACAGTGATGATTGTATTCTTTAGCTGTTCCTGTATTCAAAGTTTTAAGCAGAAATTCTTGTTTTTTCTTTTCAGAGGTATAAATTTGTAGAGTCTGTTTTCAGTGTGTTTTATTTTTGCGCTACAGAGCTAAAGACCAGCATAGACAAGCTCACACAGACATTGGAGGGCATGTACTCTGACAACAGTCTCTGCCAGGTAAGACTTTACTTTTCACTGAAGTTCTGCTTTCAAAAGGCTTCAGAGGTTTACACCACCTTAACTTTTTAACACCTATCTGATTCGCGGCTAAAAGGGACAACCGGTTTATAGGATATTTGTTAGACTTCAAGAAGGGTGATACCTGGAAAGCCGTAAAAAGTCAATTTGAAGTTTGCCAAAGCTATCAAAAAGATTCAGCAAACATGTGGGAGAGGGGATCTGCTCAGATGTCTTTAAAATTTTACATCTACAATAGAGATTTTCCTTTATACCTCATTCCTTGAGTTAAGCATGGTAGTGGCAGCATTAGGAGGTTGCTTCCTTTCAGAGGAGACAAGGAACCACAGTTTAAGGAGTAAAGCTAAATACAGAAAAATCCAGGTTAGATAATATGTTAGAGACACTAAATAAATACATCCAAAGCTACAATTAGATGTTTTGTACCAAAATATGCTGGTGAAGATTCTCATCATTTATGTAAAAAAAGTAAAAAAAAAAAAAAACAAACCGACTTTGTTTTTCAAGTTTTCAAACATGGACAACAAAGTGTAGTGTTTTGTTTTTATTTTCCTTTTTTTTTGGAATAGATCAAAATATAGTAATGAGTCAGATAGGCCCAAAGTCAAGGACAAAATCTTTTTCTTAATGGAATTTTAAAAACCAAAATTAATAAATCTGATTATAAATAGCTTTCCTAAACACACATTTTAAAAGATTTTGTTGATTAGACTTTTTTTTTATATTCCCCCTGCAATTTTTTCCACTAATTGAAATTTCTTTCATTACATGACATAATCTTTAATAGAGTGACTATAGGACCAGTTTGATTTAACGTTTCTTACCATATATATATATATATATATATATATATATATATATATATATATATATATATATATATATATATATATATATATAATTAGGGGATCCCCGCTCCATCTCGCCATGGGTTTGGGGGTCCTTGGCCTGGAAAACGTTGAAGACCCCTGCCTTAATCCATTTCCAACTTGCATTTCAAATTTCCTTTTTGAAATTGCATTTTATTTTTGCTTTACAAAAATAATTTCCATCCCCCTTCTGGTTACTCAAGGGTTGAGCCCACTGAAACCCCAGTTACACCGATCACTGTCTAACCCAGGAGAAAGCATCCAAAGAGCAGCTGTGATTGGTTTAATTTTGTTTTCAGTGTGCTCAAGGACACGGGCGGTTCTAGACAGGGGCCAACGGGGGCCAGGGCCCCTGTAGATCATGTCCTGGCCCCTGTTATGTCCCCTGTACTGAAGACATAATACTCAAAGAAATTCTAATGATGATATGCGCAGAAACAGACATGGTTACTGATAGATCCTTTGGATCAATTTTATTTTTTTCTTTACAAATTCTGTTTTATTAACTGTTTAAAAACATATAAGTGGTATTGAGATAGGATCCCAGTTTTCATCTGCTAAATGTTTTTTTCCAAAACAAATGTAAAAAAAAAATACTCTACTTTTTACAGCTAATTTTAACAGTTTTTCTTCAATTCTAATTCAGATTTTATAGAAAACTGTAATTTCAACTTAAATTAAGTAAAAAAAAAAAAGTAAAATTCCTAAATTCTGAATGTATACACTGGAAAAACGATCTAGAAATAAGTAAACTTTTCTTAAATTAAGTGTATTTACCCTTATTTTGAGTAGGTAAATGAGGTGTTTTGCAAATGGAATGAGTATTTTTTCTCTTAAAATAAGATATTTAGATAAAATGCACTTGAAATAAGACAAGGCAATTGCATTGTCTTATTTTAAGTGTAAATTTTCTTGTTCCATGGGCAAAATGTCTCTTTTACCTCCTCAATCCAAGAACAAATGAACTTATTTTAAGAAAAAAAATAACTTATCTAGATTTGGATTTTTTCCAGTATTGACCTATTAAGACATTTAGAATTTTAATGAAACCTAATTGAATAGAAATTTCACTTCATGCAGCTATCTGAATTTATTTGAATCCCTTAGCCTGTTTTATATTTCATGCTTTTCCGTGCCCCCATGAAAACATGCTGGCCCCCTCCTGGCCCCCCTGGTACATTCGGTCTAGAGCCGCCACTGCTCAAGGACTAGATTTTTTTAACTTACTTGGAAAACCAAACATTATCCTCATTTACATACACAACCCCCCCCCCCCCAAAAAAAACAAAACAAAAACATAAAGTCTGTGGTTGTAATGTGTCAAACACTGGTTGTAGAATAATGTCTTCTAACTGAAAGAAATGCTATTTTCAACAGGTGCCCTACAGACTACACGCAGTGCTTGTTCATGAAGGTCAGGCATCAGCAGGTCATTACTGGGCTTACATCTATGACCACGCTAACCAGCGCTGGATGAAGTACAACGACGTCAGCATTACAGAGTCTTCGTGGGAGGAGCTTGAAAGAGACTCCTTTGGTGGGATGACCAACGCCAGCGCATACTGCCTGATGTACATTGATGACAGGCTACCTCAGCTGATCACAGGTACACAAATGGCCTCACTTAAACCAAAACTCATTAGTTCTGATTTTATTTAAAACACTGATGGATACATCGATTTAATTCCTCCAATCATATTTATATATAGACACTGCTGATGTAAGATGACCCTCTAAGACACACCGTTCCTTATTTGCATAATGAGGCAGAAATGCAAACAGAAATGTAAAAATGACATGCAGAAATAAATAAGGTAAAAAAATACAAAAGCAGAATAAAGCAACTAAAATATTATAACATGCACATAAATAAATACTTAAAAAATATGTAATTAATTTATAAATAAATAAGGTAATTATTACAAAGGTGAATAAATAAAGAAGCTAATTAAAAGAGATATATACATTTATGTCTCACTGTATAATTTAATTTCTACCTACATTTATTTGTTTATTGTATTTTTGGGGGCAATTAATTGGATGCTTATTTATTTATTGAGAAATTATTTATTTCTGTATTTTTTTTTTTTAAATGGTAGAGCTGCTCCTCCATGTTGATGCATCAACAACCTTCTAAATATAATATAACTACCCAGTGTCTCATAGTCATCAATGGCTTTGGGACATATGAAGTTTAACATGTATTTTTATAAAGTTACATTATTAAGCATGAATTTAGGTACAATTTGATAGGATTTAATTTTTTTGAGATGACGTTAATGTGTACAAAATAAACTATATTTATTGATTTACAGCTCAAAGGTTGAGATCGGTGTAATTAAATTGGCATACTTTTCCATATTATGTAGTAATTCATTTGTCACGATTAGGCTATGGTTAGTTGACCCAAAAGCAGAGGCAGCGAGGCAGAGGTGAATCTCTTGTGGATTTAATAATGACTTAACAGAAAACAGAGGCACGTTATCCAAAAATCCAAAAAAAAAAAACAAAGTCCAAACAAACATAAAACCAGGAGTCCAAAAATCCAAAAATCAAAAACATGAAAACTAGTCTAACGTACCAGAAACCATGGAGACATCAGGGGAATCACAATCATAAGGAGGAGGGCAAAGAGAGAAGGAGTTGGAGCATGTTTGACGGTGTTTGACGAGGACCCAGCAAAGGGGAACTGAAGAGAGAGGGCCTTTTAAAGGAGACTGAGACAAAGATAGGGCTAATGAGGAAACTGGGAGCAGGTGTGCACAGAACAAGACAGGGAAAGAGCTAGGAAAGAAGGAGAACACAAGAGGGCAGCAGAGAGCAACAAATAGAAACCTGGAAGACTGGAAATGACAACAAAATGATAATCAAATAACTAGGACAATAAAACATGGAGAAAAGAAAACTAAACACTAGAAAACAAGCAGTAAAGTAAGACTGAATACTCAAAAGAAAAACATAACAGAAACAGAAACCTGACATCATTCTTGTTCATTGGTTTTTGATTCATGTTTACAATTTTTTTTCTTTTTTTCAGATCTAAAAATTGTATTTGTTTCTATATATCTTCTTAGAAAGTTCCTTACTGGTTTACATTATAGGATTATAATATCTGAAAAAAAGAATCAAGTCTTTCATTTCAAGTTTAGATGTTGTTTAGGTGTTGTGTAGGGTTTGTTGAGGGAACCTTTGACCTAACCATGTGTGCCATCCACCCAGAAGACACAGATGATGAGACAGGCCAGGTACTTCATGGCATGGACTCGCTGCCGGCCGCCCTCAGACGCTTCGTTCAGGAAGATAACCGATGGTTCCAGCGAGAGCTCAGCGAATGGGAAGAGCAGTTCTGCCAGACTGCCACCCCACAGGAAGAGTCTGCCACCGTGGCGGAGCCTCCGAGCTCCTCTGTGGAGAAAACACAGCAAACACCTGTGGAGCCGGCACCACAGTCTGGACCGTCCACTGAAGAGCTGGACCAAGGAGCCGTTTTAGGGCCACAGTCAGGCGCAGAAGAGGAGAAAGCTGCAGACTGTGATGCAAGGGCGACCTCTGAAGGTATGCAACGGACACAAATTATATAGGTTAAGTCAAGTGATCAGGGGCGGATTTACCATTAGGCCCCATAAAACTCCTTTCACATATATGTTTAATACAGCTATTACTTGTCTTTAAGAGATCTGACCCACATGCAGGTAACCACTCAGAGAACCAGAGGAAAACAGGTTTATTGAAATAATAAATCATATCAATAATCAATAATAAATAATAAATCAGGTTGATCCAGGGTAACTCAGAGAGCTGGTGCACCAGAACTGGAAGTGAGAAGGGAAGTTCAGAAGTAAGTTCAGGGTCTGTGGGAACTTTGAACAACGTCTTGCAAAAATTGTTTTGTTGGTTCCTTGAGGAGCAATGGAGCGGACTGCCACTTCGATTTCCAGGAGAACTTGAACGGGTCGTGTGGAGATTAATCCCCTGCTCAGTGTGAAGCTCAAAACAATCCTTCCAGGGGGAGAAGGCCAAAACATCCATTTTGCAGGATGACTTCCTGCCGAACAGGCAAAGACAAAAAACAAGGTTAGACTCAGAAAAACTCGGCTTGGCTAGAGTACTCAAAACTGGCAAACACTCTGGCGTCGAGGCAGTGGCAGTACACCGCTTAAGAGTCCTCAGTAATGAGCACAACCAGCTGCAGGTGTGTGGGAGGACCAACGAGAACAGGGTGCCACCTGGTGGTGGAGGGAGAGAAGACAAAAAAACAAACACAGCCCACATACACTGGATTCCTAACAAAAAGAAGCTACCCTAGAAGTGCTAAAAAGAGGAAAAAGAAGGAGGAAAGTAGAAAGCTGCTCTCAAAGTTATCCAAAGTGACTGCGGCGGTAGTACACCAGCCGCAGCCCACAATCAGCAACAAACTCAGCTTCAAATTTGACACCGGTTGAATAAGAGATGAACAACTATTAAACAGTCGAAGTGGATGTCCCCCTATATTAATTGGTATTTATTTACAATATTGAACATAGGTCATCTTAAAATTAAGTTTGAATTTTGTTTGTATTTGCTACAGACGACCAGAAATCAATTATTTAGGTTGTTTTTTTTTGTCTTGTTTTTTCCTCTCATGTTAGAGAGGTAAACATCAAGCTTTTGCGTGTCCTTTCTAATGAAGAACTGAGAAATGGAGATGGCCGCATATTTACTTCCAGCTTTTATTTCATCCAAATGAAAAATGGAGAACAGATAAGCAGATCATGGCTTGTCTAAAGTAAAAAGAAGGACTGGGTTATTTACTTTTGCTGTTGCCCTTTTAGTGAGGGACAATAGGTAGAATAAATGATATATGTCTATTCTATTAAAATTCCTGTATCTGTTTTATGTGTTGTCTTCTCAATCCAGAGGGCCCTATGCCTGTCTTTGCCTAGGGCCCCAAATTTCCTAAATCCGCCCCTGGATGTGATTCTGTGCAAATTCTCAGCCATCTGGGTCATGGCAACCGCTTTTAAGCCTGTTGTGCTAAGAGAGGTTATATAACATACACCCTTCAATCACTTAATTAGACACTATCTGTAGGTATTATTTTCTATATTCTACAGAATATCATATCTACAGTTAAACATGGTAGTGGTGGAGTGATGGAAGGCTGTTTTTCCTGCTTCAGAACATCCAAAAATATTCTTCCAAAAATAGTAGACCAAACTTCCTCCATAGGGATGGAAACAACTCATAACCAGCTATTAAAAATATTAAATGGCAGGTTTTTCTGGGCTGGAACAACCAGTTCTAACAATTTGTTTCCATAGAGCCATGTGGGCTTGGCTAACTGATTCTATTTATATAAATAATGAAATGAAACATACTTATTTTAAGAATACATACATGCATAATGAATCCAGCTCTCTTCACATCTTATTGAACAGCAGAAGCTCCTGAGATTTTGCCCCCATCTGCAAGTCCAGAATGCCGAGCAGATGCAACCGACACCCCTGCAGTCAGCGACACCCTGGAATCAAGCCCAAAGTCAGCTGAGCTGCAGAGTCAGGTGGGGAAGTCCTTCAGTCTATAACCCTCCTCCTGATATTCTATCACACTGGAAAGTGGGTTAAAATTTCTGGGTCACAGACGCAAGTATCTGAGGCAAGGGTCTTCTTCGTTGGTTTTATATGTGACCGGCACATTAAAGGTCGTTTTGAGTTTAGACAGGCTGCTGTCACCACACACTCCTCCAGGAGGAGCGGATCCTGCAAAGTCATTTACTAGATTCAATCATCTGGGTTTCCTTAGATAGAAAACATTTATCCAATCTGTTTTTAATTTGATTGTAAAGATTATTTTTGTTGTGAATTAGCTCTATTGAAATAAACCATATTGATTGTAGTGAATATAATAGAAATTTAGATGCAGTTTAGATGTTTTTAGATATCTGCCATGAAACTCAGTTGCTTAAATATACTTGTCATATTTTATTTTATGTTTTTTATATCGAATTTTGTTCAATTCCTTTTTTAGACCTCTGGTTCCGATGCAGAGGTTAGTAATCCGGAACCGTCTGGACTCCACATGCACGCGGAGGTGGCAGGACTGAGCTCCGAGACAAATGATGAACCGGGAGCATCTGGTGAGGCTGCTGGACTGGAAGCAGATCCGGAAAACGAGGGGCAACACCGGGAGCAGGAGGAGGTCCCAGCGAGGCAGAGGCAGGCTGAGAATGAAGTGTCAGAGGTGGAGATCCCCAATGTGGGGAGGATCATGGTGAGGGCGGATGCTGATGGATACAACGAGGAGGTAAGGAAGGGTTCAGACAAAATGATCTCATACCTCATAGTTATCTATGTAACCTCAAAAAGTGATTAATGAATTTTAAAATGAATGCATTAATGCCCCAGTATCTACTCACACCTACTAAGGATGGGAGAAGATACATTGGAAGGTTGGATTAATGTTGCAAAAAGTAGATTACCAAAAAAAAATTCCAATGTCATTGCTAAATTAAAAGATAAGCCATAATTAATAAATTCAAAACTTTTCCTAACTATGATATCTCTATGATCTGGTAAGACCACATGAAACACTTGTATCCCAGGTAATTTTGCCCATTCCAAGACCTAATTGAAAAATAGTGATGGCAGCATCATGCTGTGGTTTTTTTTTTTTTTCTCCTCATAATTGAACTGGGTCTAAGTAGCCAGATAAGGAAGTGAGAAAGTATGGAGCTGTCCATTTTCCACAGATGATGGACAATCCTACTACTTCCAGGTGCAGAGCAGAAGGGTGCACTGGAAAAACCTACATAAAGTGCATCAAATGGAACATGTACCTCTGCATCTCAAAGAAGAAGAACTGCTTTACTGACTACCACAAACCAAAACAGAATGAACACACCTGATTAAACTACATAAATTAGCTTGCTTTTGATAAGTTGAATGAGGTGCCTGGAAATCTGAACCACTGGCTTAAATGATGTAGCCATTTGAAATTTACAGCACTAAAGATTGTCAGAGTTCAGAGGTAAATGTATGCCTCGAAATGTGTTCATATTTGCTACAAGAGAGTCCCGATGTCCTCTCCAAAGGATATACCCTAAAAAATAAATAAAAACATGTTTTCAACTTTTTTCAATTGTTTTTTTCACTCCAAAGAGTCATGTAGTGTAAAATAGAAATTCAAAGAAAGAAATTCAAAAACTTTTTCTCTGGGTCTCAGGAGGTTATTATTAATGTAGATAGAATTATGCACAGTTCAAAATAGCAAGTTAGAAGTTTGCAGATGTTACCAAAAAAATTTAATTCCAACCATCATTTTTTATTTTCAGTTCAATTCAGTTTATTCATACCAAATGGACAAACTGTTGTCTCTGTTTGAATATTATGACAGACTTAAAATCGAGTTTAAGTATTAATAAATAAAGCAGTCAAGTTCAGTTTAACGGTTACTTTTGTCTCCAGCTAAATAAAAACTCTTTAACTGACTAACCCTAAGCTTTGAGAAAACGACAGCTTATCATTTTTGACCAATATCTACTATAGGAAATTTTATCCAATTTTTAAAGAACAACAAGAGAATAATATCTAAACATTATCAAAACAAGAATGGATAAGTTATCTTATCTGGGATGTAAATATCTACGTAGATTACAGAAAAAAAAAAAGAAAATCCCACCTAGTTGTCCAACCTAATAACAGGAAAAATAAATCTGAAAGAAAATTGTTGGTTCTTTCAACAGTAATTCTGTTGCAGAAATTCTATTCATTTATTCTCACTGATCTCTCATTAATCACTGGATTGCTGATAGACCGAAAAAAACCGAAGTAACTGCCGCCATCTTGGTACTCCCCATTCCCACTGAATCGCGCCATAAAAGTGCCTTTAATGTGGTGTAACTAGCATAACAATGTAATCAGTACATGTATATTTAATGTACATCATCAATTTATCAGTTTTAGCAGATTATTAGAATGTGAATGCTCCATTAACACACTAATTTTGTTGTTATAGATTTGTATATGTTATACTACATGATTTATAGACTTCATTGACTTCATGCTGAAAATGCAATGTTTACTTTCTATATTTTACCATATATTACAGTAATCTACTGATACTAGGAAACAGCAAGTGTGTCAAAGTGATGACTTTATGTTTATTCTAAAAGTCTTAAGCCCCCCGCACGTATTGTTTACAATCCAACCAGTCTAATTAGGGAGTACCAATATGGCGGCTGGTGAATTCGCAGCACCCTGTGCTACCAAGAACCTATCAGCAATTCAGTGAGTAAATACAGATCAGTGGTTATACCATGAAAGGCTCGCTGGAAAAACTGCAGCTGTTATATCAGTTTAGATTTTTTTAAAGAGTTTATTCCTTATTATCTTTGATTGGTTATTTAAAACCACTATATAAGGTGCAAAGTACTGTCAGAAAAGGGCTGTTCGTTTTGTGTTAGTTAGTGTGTGACATTAAAAGTGATGATTAAATGGTAGTACCTTTTTTGCAGTGATTTTAGATAACTATGGCTTTGATTTTCTTTTTCTATCGCATAGAAAATACGCTCTAGATCATTGCTTTATGTTCTCACTGAGTGTGTTTGCTCCGTCTTCTCACACCCCAGATATCTAGATATTTAGTCAAACTGAACACGGTTCTTTAAAGGGGAGTTTTCTTTTTCACAATTGACACACTTATGGTCAGGATAAGGAACTGCTGCAATATAAAGGCTCAGTGTTTTTCCCAATTAGTTTTACTTTAATATCATAAAAAATTAAACACATTTAGACACAGTTTAAGACAAAAAAAAGGTAAAACAAATCATCTGCTTTCTCACTTTGTGTGTGCACTGTGTTTGTTGCTCTGTGTGAAATTTCCTGTCTTTGTTTTCCTCAATGTGTCATTTCCTAGATGATGCTCACTCCAGCTATGCAAGGTGTCATCCTGGCCATAGCCAAGGCCAGACAAACGTTTGACAAAGAGGGCCCTGAGGCTGGCCTCATCAGGGTAAGACAAGCGGATTTTTAAGATCGTTACGTTTCGGGTTAACCCTGAAAAATCACAACATGTATGGGATAGTGTAAAGCAGACATGGGCATACTACGGCCCCCGGGCCGTATACGGCCCGTTAGGCTTTTTAATCCGGCCCGCCGAACTTGTCCAAATTACCCTATTTTCACGACTGTAAGGCGCACATAAACGTCTTTTTTTTTTTTTTCCTCAAAATGTGCGGTGCGCCCTATGTGTGTTGTGACTGCGACTTTTGGGACCACCATGCACCATGCAGAACTCCTCATCTCCTCATTGAGGAGATGATGAAAGCGTGGCTGAGGGAGGTGAATGTAAGGAGACCAGGTGTTTTTTTTCCACTCATCACCATCGCTGTTAATATGTAACTCCATGCGTGCCCATCTCACAGCTGATGTGAAAAACATGGTGAAACAAATGAACGCTGTGCTCGCTGTTATTCAACCGCTCGACATCGGTGTGAACCGGACGCAGCAGAAGCAGTGAGTTTACATGCAAAGTCAATGGTTGACGCGCGTATAGGTGCAGCAAAAGGTCCCGCAGCGCGTTTTGAACAGCAGGCGCAGCGCGTCGGGATCGTTTATCTGAAGCGCCGGAAACGCGCTGCTGCTGCTCGAGATGGAAAAATTGAAGTTTTGCTGCTGGAAGCGCCTCATCAACCAATCAGAGAAGCTGATCTGGGAGCTGACAGCGAGACAGACACATCGCTCTGATGACACATGATATTACGGCAAATGAAAAAGGCTGGATGGATGAGGAGATGATGAAAGCGTGGCTGAGGGAGGTGTATGAGGAGACCAGGTGGTTTTTTCCACGCATCACCATCGCTGTTAATCTGTGACTGAATGAACGCTGTGCTTGCCGTTATCCCGGGAGGTCTGACAAAGGAACTTCAACCGCTCGACATCGGTGTGAAGAGGTCTTGTGCGAAATTCTGTTTCCCCGTGAAAATCTGTTCCCCCTGTGTCGGGAGCGCGCATTGCAGCCAGAGAGGCGGATCTGACCATTCTCAAGGCGCTCCTGATCATTTTTCGGTAAAAACAGCTCATATAATCATCTCAACTTTGTAACATCCATTTTAATCGGTTGCTCTTTTTAAGAAATTGTAAAATAAATACATTAACGAGGTCCCCCTACGCTGTTTTGTGTTTTTTTAAATCCAAGAGAATCGGTATTTCTCCAACTTTTGTCCCTTCAGCCTGACAGAAATAAACGTCAGTCACCGAACACAACAACACGTAGTGTATTTTTAATTTTTCATTGCTGATATAAGAGGATGGAAACTGGCTGATAGCAGGGCACACAAATTAAGACGTCCTGCGAAGATGAGAGTAGAATTTCTGGTTAATCACCTTCTAATGTAAAATATGACAGATTACTGGATTAAGGACATTAATAGTATACCACATCACACATATCAATTTTAGAGAAATTGGAAACAGTTGCTCTTTATTTCCCAAAGATATGGGAGGAGGAGAGGAGAGAATGGATGTTTCAGCTTACTGAAATATTCTGTTCCCCCTCCATAACAGGGGAAGAAATAAATTTCCCTGCAAGTCTTTAACTGTGCTTATTCCTCTCACCACCGAGAACAAATCCTGTGGATTTGGTCATATTTACTCTTTATTTGCAAAAATTAAAGGGGGGGAACCATATATTTCAGCTGCCTGAAATAATCTGTTCCCCCTCCATAGGGGGCCTCTGGGCGGGTCTCCTCCTCTTCACCGCAGCGGCTGGCAGGTGTTTTTTCATCTAAATAATCTAAATCTTGCAGCTATATTTGATGTGATCAGTGGGAATAAAGTAGTTTTAATATGTTTTTAAGTGAGAAAGTCCACCTGAAAACTTAATAATTGCAGTCAGTTCATCCAGATTATCATCATGCCTATACTATTTCTGTCGGAGGCGCTCAGACCCCCACATACCAGCGGTGCACCGACAGTAGAAATCCCTTCATCAGCAGCCTCTAGGCAGGGCAGCCTCCGGGTTCATTGCGGTGGCTGGCAGGTGTTTTTCATCTAAATAATTTAAACTGCAGGCACCAGGATACCGGTAATAAAAGCGAACATATTCCGTCGGCAGGTTTCAGGATTTTAAGTTAATTTAGGAGCGATCACAGCGCTCTGTGTCATCTGCGATGTGTCTGTCTCAAGGCCAGCACGTAGGTTTGATTAATACTTTGTAATAAATACATGAATAAAGCACAGTCATACTCAGTTTTGCTCCCGCTCTATTTTTAAATACGCAGTAGAGGTATTTAAACGTAGTAGAGGACATGATGGATGGATAAAAAAACCTATAGTCCGCTGCGCCTTATGTGTGTGTTAAATACAGAAATGGGACACATAACTGAGACTGCGCCTTTTAGTACGGTGCGCCTTATGGTCGTAAAAATTGTCTGTTTTTTTATACATTTCAATCCCCAGGTTTAATTAATGACATTGCTTGTCCAAATGCTCCTGGCCCGGCCCTTCTGTCAAATTTTAGAACCCATTCTGGCCCGCAAGTCAAAAAGTTTGCCCACCCCTGGTGTAAAGCCTACTCAGAGTACACACATTTCTCATGACGGTTTTGTTGTTTCTTGAATTTATGCACACTTAAATCAGCTTTAAATATAATAAGTGTTTCAAATTCTTAACAGAAAATGTCAAATTTTCTGTAAGCATATTCAAATCTTTAATATGTCAAGTCCCTGCATCTATCACTTTAGTCAGTTTGCTTTACATAATGCAAAATCTCCTCTAATGTTGCTAGTTTTTTTCTGCCTCTAGACACATTGACTTAAATGCTAACTGCTGTTGTTGCAGGCCTTTCATGAGGAGTATTCCCGCCTGTATGAACTCTCCCAGGAGGAGATCACGCCCCAGGAGGATGCCCGTCTGCAGCACGTTCTGGTCTACTTCTTTCAAAACAAAGCGCCCAAGCGTGTCATTGAGAGGACGCTGCTGGAGCAGTTTACAGACCGCAACCTCAGCTTTGATGAAAGGTGAACAAAGTCTTGTTGTCTGTGATATCTGGACGGGTTGGGTCAAATTTTGAGAGCCATCATCTCTGTGTGGGATGATGCTAAAATCTAACTATGAAATATAATAGAACAGAATAGAATAGAATAATTAAATTCAGTTTATTTATATAGCGCAAATTCACAACAAGCCATCTCAAGATTGATTCAAAGTTCACCAGTTGATTGCATCGACTCAAAGGCAATAGAATAAAATAGAATAGAATGGAATAGAATAGAATTTAATAGAATAGAATAGAATGGAATGGAACAGAATAGAATAGAATAGAAAGGAATAGAATTTAATAGAATAGAATGGAATGGAATAGTATTTAATAGAATGGAATGGAATAAAACTGAATTTAATAGAATGAAATGGAATAGAATTTAATAGAAGGGAATGAAATTTACTAGAATAGAATGGAATATAATTTAATAGAATTGAATATACGGTAATAGAATTCAATAGAAGGGAATGCAATAGAATAGAATAGAATTTACTAGAATGGAATGGAATAGAATAGAATAGAATTTACTAGAATGGAATGGAATAGAATAGAATAGTATTTACTAGAATGGAATAGAATAGAATAGAATAGAAGAGAATAGAATAGAATAGAATAGAATAGAATAGAATAGAATAGAATAGAATAGAATAGAATAGAATAGAATAGAGCAAAACAAGTGGACAAAAGAAAGCTAAAAGGTACACACAAAATTAAAAAATCTGTTCAAAAGCAAAAGAGAATAAAAAATATATTACAATTATTGTTATTATTTATTTACTCCAACAACATTTCTCTCTATAAAAAACAGGTTTTCTGGAGAACAAATAATGGTTTGAAAGATTTTATTTTTGTTTTATGAGCAGCTGCACTAAATAATTGATGAAAGCCTGATGACGGGCTTCTTCTGCCATCTAGTGTCCATTTTGGAGACCTGCTAGTTGTGAGAATATTTTGCATCATTAAACTTCAGTTGACTTTCTTGTGCATGCAGAGCCATCAGCATAATGAGGGAAGCTCGGGCCAAGCTCCGCCTCATTAAGCCAGAAGACATGGACATGGAGGAATACATGGTACTGTTGGCTTTATATAATCCGGTGGGAAATCCTTCTACAAGCTAACCTTTGTAGTAGAAAAGATTGTCTCTCATTTGTGTTACTAGTTATTACCAGTCAGCGAGCTAAAACAGCTGGAGACATTGAAGATCACGGAGAAAGCTACAGTGCCATAAAAACATGTTTAACCGTTTAACAGATTTTCTGTTTCTATGTTTTCGTCACATTTAGTTTTTGCAGATTAACATTTTTTATAGGATGTTGTTTTGCTTTAATAACTGAAATCATAATTTAAAAAGTGTTTTTTTCTTTTTTGTGTAAAATTATCATTTAAGAGGAAATTTTCTTATTAACCATTTCTTGGCATTCAATAGATTCCCCCTTAGAGATTATTAAAACTGCACCTGCTGCATCTCAGTCTGTAAATCTGCTCTAAAACATAAAAGAGATAATTTTTACAAACATCAAGTTAAACCATAATGACCTGATAAATCTCCCTACTGTGCTCTAATATTACAATCAAAGAGATAAAATAAACAGATTACTGTTTTTGTATTTCTCTTGCAGCAGTGGCATGATGACTACAGGGACTTCAGGACGGTGTTTGTTTATCTGCTGACTGGCTTGGAGCAATATCAGCACGGAAAGTAAGAAATTAATATTCTCTATCTCCATGCAGTGTTTTGCTAAAGTATCATCCCACGTAAGCGTGTCCATCTAATAGAAAAAATATACTATGAGCTGATAAACGCCACACATCAGACTGAACATGAGCAGCACAGTGATACATGGTGGTGATAGCATCATGCTGGGGGAATGTTACCTTAGCAGGGACAGGACTGGTATAGTTTAGAACAATTATTATTATTATTATTCAAATTAAAATGTAAATTTACAAAACAATATTTCTAAACAGTGGGTTTTTGTACAATAATGTCCTCATTGGAAAAAATCAAAATCTATGTTAGTCATTTTTTCTTAAAATTTGTGCATTTGTTCAAAGAGACATTTTGCCAATAGAACAAGACAATTTACACTTAAAATAAGAAAACACAATTGCATTGTATTATTTTAAGCGCATATTATCTAATTATCCTATTTTAAGAATAAACATACTCATTCCATTGGCAAACTATCTCATTTACCTACTCAAATCAAGGGTAAATACACTTAATTTCAGATATTTTTTTACTTATTTCTAGATCATTTTTCCAGTGCTTATCTTAACAGATGTAAATGAATATTTGCTCAATTCTAGCTGGAAAGTTTTTGGGTTTTTTTAACCATCAATATTGCACATTGCTTTCATCTTTTCGAAAACCAGTTGGCATTTTTCTTTTTATTTAAACTTTAAAATTTCTAATTTTTACCTAAATATCCCTTTTCTTTACACGTCTGTTTTCTTTTCGCTTTCTCTTTTTGTATTGCTTGATTGTGTGATGTTCTCCTATTACTTGTTTTTGCCACTGTCACACCCAAATTTCAACACACTGCAAAAAATTTAATCTAAATAAGTCCTTTTTTCTTAAAATATGTGAATTTTTTCTTGAATTGAGGAGGCTATTGAGACACTTTTCCAATGGAATAAAAAAAATACATAATACAAAATGAGGAAAAAAAACAATTACATTGTCTTATTTCAAGCGCAAAATATGTAATTATCTTACTTTAAGAGGAAAAATACTCATTCTATTGGCAAATCACCTTTTTTACCTATTTAAATTAAGGGTAAAAATACTTAATTTAAGAATGTTTTACTTATTTCTATAATATTTTTTGCAGTGCACTGTGGGATAATACATGTATTCTATTATATTCAGTTTTGCTGTTCTATTCTATTCTATTCTATCATAATCTACTCTAAAATTGCATCAGATCCATTTTACTGAATGACATGAAAATAAAACAGTAGAAAAACCAAACATATAATAGTAACTTCTGTTTGATAACTTAGTCTACTTTTAAATGTTGTGCTTGTGTGTATATATATATATATCTATATATATATATATAGATATATATATAGATATATATATACTATATGTACTATACAGTTACATTGATATATATTGTACAGTGCATTTTAAACATAGATACCCTGTATAATTTAGCATCCCTGAGTGTTTAGACTCATCAGTCTGATTTTTATTTTTTAAAGAACAATTGTGAGGCTTTTTTTTGTACTTATTTGTTTTCTTTTAATTGTGTAACAGGATACGAGAGGCTTTGAACTACTTGGCACATGCATATGAGACCAATGCTGTCCTGCTGGGAAAGGGAGACAAATGTGGTTTGGACAAGGCTCTTATTTCATTGTACAGAAGAAAGTGCCTCATTGTGAGTAAATCAACACTTGAAACTAGTCCTGTTTAAGTCTTTAGCCCAAAGCATCCCTTAAATGAAGTGTTTTGTTATTAAAGAGGTCTCAGTTTGCACTAGAGGCAGCTGCAGAAGTATTTTTATCTGGGCCAGAACTTTGCACTAGGCCAACAGTCCTGTATTCCGGCTGCAGGACTGAGGTTTGGTTAGTTTTCCTAATAAAATGGAGAAAAAAAATGGTCCATGCACTAATCTAAAATTAAAACTGATTGTGAGATTACCCTAAATATATATATTGTATGAAATTGTGCTACATAAAACTGGTCCTATAGTCACTATATTACAGATGGATTAACGTAACGGAAGTAATTTCTCCCTGGGATTATTAAAGTATTTCTAATTCAGATTCCTGTGAGTGAAACGGTGCCCAGCTTGAAAGAGCTCCTGTGTGTCGCTGAATGTGAGCATTGATGACTGAAAGACATCTTCTGCCTCCATTTATCTGTTTACTACAGTCTGTTGGATTCATGTTAATGTGGATTTAAAGACATTTCAATTAGGGGAAAAATTGTAGGAGAGGAATAAAAAAACAATCTAATCAACCAAAACTTTCACGACCCTCATGCAGTACCTCTGTTGACCCCCTAGGGGTAAGAGGAATAACAAAGCTGCTATCAATCATCTTCAAGTGGCGTCAAAATAATTAGATGATAAGTTGCTATAAAAGCATTTAATCTAAATATTAAAGGCAGATTTTGTGACAAAACTTTCCTTGTGTTCATCCACTGAACAGGCTCTGAATGACAGCGCATCGCGCCTATTCTGCAGCGGGGAGGAGAGCAAAGTGGAGGAGGCTCTTTCCATCATGGACGAAGCTGTCATTCCCTGCCTTCACCTGATGAGCCGGGATACGGCGTTATCTCAGGAGGACCGGGATGCAATGGAGAATATACGCAGCCACTGGTGCTGCTGCCTGGGTCAGGACTTGGATGGTGAGTCATTAACATTGATAAAATAACTATATACTGATGGAATATTGGCTTTACGGAAGAGGATTAGGGCAACTGAGAGAAAAAAATTTTCATCTCAGAATTCTGACTTTAATCTCAGAATTCTGACTTTTTTCTCAGAATTCTGACTTTAATCTCAGAATTCTGACTGTAATCTCAGAATTCTGACTTTAATCTCAGAATTCTGACTTTTTTTTATCAGAATTCTGACTTTAATCTCAGAATTCTTACTTTTTTCTCAGAATTCTGACTGTAATCTCAGAATTCTGACTTTAATCTCAGAATTCTTACTTTTTAAAATCAGAATCCTGACTTTAATCTCAGAATTCTGACTTTTTTTTAATCAGAATTCTGACTTTAATCTCAGAATTCTTACTTTTTTCTCAGAATTCTGACTTTAATCTCAGGATTCTGACTTTTTTCTCAGAATTCTGACTTTAATCTCAGAATTCTTACTTTTTTTTCTCAGAATTCTGACTTTAATCTCAGAATTCTTCCTTTTTTATCAGAATTCTGACCTTAGTCTCAGAATTCTTTCTTTTTTTATCAGAATTCTGACTTTAATCTCAGAATTCTTCCTTTTTTATCAGAATTCTGACTTTAATCTCAGAATTCTTCCTTTTTCTTATCAGAATTCTGACTTTAATCTCAGAATTCTGACTTTTTTTCTCAGAATTCTGACTTTAATCTCGGAATTCTTACTTTTTTTTCTCAGAATTCTGACTTTAATCTCAGAATTCTTCCTTTTTTATCAGAATTCTGACCTTAGTCTCAGAATTCTTTCTTTTTTTATCAGAATTCTGACTTTAATCTCAGAATTCTTCCTTTTTTATCAGAATTCTGACTTTAATCTCAGAATTCTTCCTTTTTCTTATCAGAATTCTGACTTTAATCTAAGAATTCTGACTTTTTTTTATCAGAATTCTGACTTTAATCTCAGAATTCTTACTTTTTTTATCAGAATTGTGAATTTAGTCTCAGAATTCTGCCCTTTTTTTATTCTGACTGTAATCTCAGAATTCTGACTTTAATCTCAGAATTTTGGATCTTAATGTAGATGGGCAAAATGAAGGAAGAAATGTGGGAGCACTCAGCTTCACTGACAAAGATGTGAGTTGTTTCGGAGGGCCAGTGACACATTGGTGGAAAATGATGGAATTAGGCGACTTTTTACGTGCCTGAGGGGTCCCTGGTGATGCTATTTCATTAATGGAAGAATGGATATTGATTAAAACAAGAGAGCTAGTTTAGACTCTAAAACTGAAATGGCTACGGCTTGATGCTAAATTCAGATTCTGGGATAAAAGTCAAAATTCTTTTTTCTCATATTATACTGAAATAAAGTTTAAAAATCAGTTAACTTTTTTATTTTTGCAGTGGCCCTAATCCTTCCATTCGTTTGTTATACATAAACCATCTTTTTTTTATTTTTAGATTCATTGCAGGTAAAGCTGAGTGAGTTGCTGCCGCGGGTCCTTAATGGTTCCACCGGCACGGTTCTACTAAAAGATCCACCAAAAGTCCACGTCAACCAGGCCCACGACCTGTGCAGCCGCCTGGCTGCCCTTATGGAGTCTATTCACAACACCACAGTAGTAACTGTCAAGTAAATTCTTGATGGAAAATCTAGAAGACGCTGTGAGCGGCGGCGGCGGCATGCAGCAGAGCAGTCTGTGCTGATAGGACAGTAGGGTTTACACCAGCATGTAGTAATTTATTATTTGATGGCTCTGAACTGCATACAAGTAGAACATTTATTGCGCTGTATACTTTGCAATCACTCATTGTGGTTGAATAGGAGATCCTGCACAAATACATGCAAATGAAGAATAGAAAAGAACTGATTCTGAAGTTTCTGAAGAAATAATCCAGTCTTTTTCAGTCTGCTTTTACCCTGCTACCCTAATAGCAACACACATCAATCACTAAAATACTAACAGTCTTTAAAGTCTCTCAACCGTTTAAAGGCAAAATAAAATATGCCCAAATGGCAACCGGTTTCTGCTCTACAAACATTTGAGGATATTTTTTAGTGACTAATATTTGGTTGTATTGACTTGTTTTACACCTAAATCTATCGTAAAGGTGCAGGGATGGGATAAAGTGCTCAGCCATGTACCTGAGTCCTGAGTCCTCGGGTCTGAGGAGACTGGTGTAAAGCGTAAAAGCATAGTCGTAGTAAAACGAAATGCAGATCTTTTTAAATCCATAAATTAAAGTGCTTTGTTCTTGTCCCAGTTGTAGAAAAAATAAACATATAAGAGATTTCAGACTGTTTATGATTTGATTGATTGCTGATTATAAATCAAACAAAAATATTGCGTAGACACAGATTGTCTAAAAACATTTTTCTTCTTTAAGAGAGACCAACACTGAGACCAACTGAGACCTGTGTGTTGAGACCAAGACACAGAAGTCAGGTTTATGCCAATCAGCTCTATAAAAGAAGACGTTTTCTAGAAAGTTATTTCATTTCAGGTCATTTAAATAAAAGTCAACATTGTTTTATAATATCTATTCTATTAAAACTTGTATGGGGTCATAATGAATGAGGACTTGTTTGTAGGTTTTGGCTTCGTTTTTGTTTAAATAAAAACAGAAGTAGGAAATCCGATGTGCAGTTTTTGCACCATTCAAGTTAGATTTAAATAATTTTAGAAGTCAGAGACGATGATGTTTAGAGGGAAAGACCTTAAAGTTGATACTTTCTTTTAAATGTAGAATCTGTAATATATGTAAAGTTTTATTCAACTTTTTTTCAGAAGTGACACTGGTGGTGTTGAACCTTGAAGCTTCTAAAAGTGGGCGTGCAGGTGGCGCAGTGGTCGGTGCACACGACGCAGCCAACCTGTGGTCTTTTGCCGCACGTCTCACCCCCCCCCCCTCTCTCATACCCCCTCTCCTCTCAGCCTACTGTCAGAAAATTGAGCCACTAGTGTCGTAAAAATAGACAAAAAAAAAAAAAAAAAAAAAGCTTCTAAAAGCAAATAGAAGGCTGTAAAAACCTAGCCCTCCACCCAAGTCACTAAAGTTGTAACTCATTTCCATCTATGTCGCTTATTGATAGCTTTGAAAATAACTGGGATTTTTTGTCCCTTATTGCTTTGGATAAAAGTGTCTGAGAAATGCATAAACACATAAATAAGAAGAATAAACTATTTTTTTAACCCCAAGATCGTCATAAATCATCGAAATGTTTGACTGGCTGATTGTATCCTTTACTGAGTCCTAGAAGAAAAAACGTTTTAACTGTAACTCTGTTCTGATGGGAAAATATTAACTGTGTTTCTTTTGATGTTAAGTCAATTGCAAAATGATGCTGTTTGGACTTAAAATTACTTTCTTTGTTCTGCACAGTAAGACATGAGGTGTGTTGTTTTTTTTTGAATACATGTTTTCTATGATCTCTTTGTATTTTTCCAAAACAGAAATTATGAATTATGAATGGAATTCAAATGAACAATAAAATCTAAAATGTTGTAAGTGCTAACGCAGTGCAGATCATGTGATCCCTTTACTTGGGATGCTTCATGGTTTCTCCATGCCTTAACATCAATCCATCGACGCGGCTGAAATCTCTGAATAATTGTTTTAGAGGAGAGCTTTAGAGCTGTTCATTAAGCCAGTTTAACAGATGATTCACTTGTACTTTATGATGATCTTCAATAAATGTTTAAAATATCTCTTTAATCTTTATTTTTGTCCAGTACTTTCTAATTTAGTTTTTCCTTGTAAAGCTAAGATCATCCTAATTCTGAAGTCCTCTTGCATAAAAGACTTAAAGAATAAATTGGTGTTAAGTGTCTTTTAAGGCACCCATTGCGTTGGATCTTTGATGCCATTCAGGCTCTGTTCGAAAACCTAGGACGGGTCCTCCAAGGACGCGGTCTACCTAGACTGGATCCTTCGAAGTCCTTGAAAATAAGGAGACCGGAAGAGTTTTGGCTGTGAATTCGAACAGGTCCACCCTTCGGTGGGTTTTACCGCCGTATGCTCTGTTGCTTAGCAACCGTGAACGTTGACACACAAAGCAGGAAAAGAATGAATACAGAAGTTTTCAAAACTGTTTATTTATTTTTATTTTTTTGTGAAGTGAACAAAGACTACACTCACAAGAATCCAGAGTGGAATAAAGGTTCCAACCACCGGGAGCAGGAACAAATAAAATCAAATGTAATGATAGAAAAAACCTTAGTCAGTTAAATAACCTGCTGCTGTCATTCTGCACATCTCTGATGCTGCTGCTATTTTCAAATATCCATTACTGTAAAAATGTCCATAGCTGCATATTGGTTATTTATTCCCCAGTTTTATATTGTTAAAGCACTTTACAGTATTTTATTGTTTATATTTTAACTCTTCCCTATTATGTTATTCTTATACATTTTTCTAAGGTCCTCATTTCTGTGACCATTTTCAATAATCTTTCTGCTGCTGTAAATTTGCCCATTGTGGGACAATAAAGGGATTTTCTATTCTATAAAAGGGGTAGAAAGATAGAAGTAAATCTAAACAATGTATTTATAAAAAATATATCTGCAAAATCTCTAATATTCAACAACAAAAAATACGAAGTTAAGCATATTGTGCAAAACAGCAATAAGAAAATTAAATTCCTATCAGATTTATAGTCCCCCCCACCCTGCAGATATATTAGAATCTGTCCTTAAATTATAGCCAAACCCATTTACACAGTAACAGATTAAAACCTTTAGATAAATCAAACATTACCGCCACATATCTGACTCAATAACCATTAAAACAACTATTTTTCATTAATCTCAGACGGAACTATTCACTGACTTGTATTATATTAAACTGAACTTCCAATTTTCACCACTGTTCGATGCCAAGTAACCTTTCCTCTGATCACGGCTTGCTTGGTCTCGCAATGAATCCTGGGATATCCAAGAATACCGAGGATACATCAGACCCGTCCTTCAAATCGGGCAAAAAGAAGGACGCATTTTAAGGCCGCATAACGCATAACTTCTAAGGACGCGTCCTAGGTTTTCGAACAGAGCATCAGTGTCAGTCTCCTGGCACTTCTCAGATATGCACTACTTTGGGTTGGTGTGTGTATCACATAAAATCACAATGGAATATACAAAGGTTTGTGGTTATTTTATAGCAATGTCTTTAAAGTTAAACTTGAAAACCCATTTGTTTAGAACTGCCTTTAAGTATTAAAGTTAAACTCATCTGAGGTATCATTAAAGATTGTGCTCCAACTGTTATATTTGCTCTACTACCTGCTTTTATCATGTTTCTTTACCTTTATTTGCTATTATGTCTTTTTTCCTTCTATTTGATTATTTAATTTCTGCAAAACACTTTGAAATGTCCTTGTACTGAATTGTGCCATACAGGTATACTTACCTTGCCTTAAATTTAACAAGACACCAAAGATGGTTTCATGCTTAAATGAAGAAGAAATAAACTCAGGGGAGGATTCACCATTAGGCAATAAAAAACTGTTTAGATGTATAGCTAATACAACTACTTTCGAATTTGTTCACATTAATTATTTTTTTGATAAGAATACCATCAGAACGCTAATAATATTAAGTGTGTCTCAGCCCCCCCCTTCAGTGTCCACCATATTGGATCAGTCAATTTGCTGCACATGTTCAGAAAGGTCCAAACAGACAGCAGCAAACCATTTGAAAACAAACCATGCAAAGAGCAGTGTTGCCAACTTAGCGCTTTAGTCGCTATATTTAGCCGCTTTTCAGACCCCTCTAGCACTTTGATTTCTAAAAAGCTCCTAGGGCCAAATCTATCGACTTTTTCTGCTACTGGAGACTTTGGAGACAACTTCTAAAAGCAGCGAACTCTGCTCTCCAGAGCGAGTAGATTGGTAACCCCGCCTCCTGCTCTCCTCTGTCTTGTCTGCTGTCATGATTCATGCAGCTATTATTTCATCCAAATGAAAAATGGAGAACAGATAAGCAGATCATGGCTTGTCTACAATGAAAAGAAGGACTGGGTTATTTACTTTGGCCTTTTTGGAAACACAGGAAGGAGCAATCAGCTAAGTGAGCTTAGTGCTTGGAAAAAATCTTTCATTCCTTTAGAGACAGCGTGAAAAGTCAGCTGAGTACAAAACATAGAGAGGAAAACAAGAAGAAAAGGGACAAGAAGAGAGGGACAGAACCTACAACAGATAATGAATGTCTATTCTATTAACATTTCTCTATCTGTAGAATGGTCTGTTTTATGTGTTGTCTTCTCAATTCAGAGGGCCCCCTGCCTGTCTTTGCCTAGAGCCCCATATTTCCTAAATCCGCCCCTGCATAAACTGCAAATGATTTTTTTGGTTTTGAAAAAGGAGCATTAGAGAATGCAAGACATTTCCACTTGCAGCATGGTTACATAGGAGACATAACAAAATAAGCTTTTTGTATGAGGCTTCATTTGTGTACCAGCTGGATCCTACATCAGCCCATAGAGGAGCCTGGCTTGATTTCAATATTTTTATTTCCAGACAATTTGCCTTTCGGCCATTTAACAGTTTTATCAATAAGTTTATGTTTGTCTAAAACAATTCAACAGATAAGCGACTGGTTGCACCTGAAACAAATGTGTGTTCAAACATTTCTCTTCAGAAAAAATGAGCAGAAGAGTGTTTTTGTTTAGCTACAACTTATTGTTCAATTACTGACTAATAAGATCACATAAAATTGAACGGAAGAACGGATCCTACATGGCTTATTTGAACACCAGTCTTAATGCTCTATTTTAAAGCAATTTCAAATAATGCTAAGTAGACATTATTATGTGATTTACACAGATGAGAATAACACTGAACATGTGTTCGACTTCAACGCGACTAACAAGATTTCGTCAGGATTATTACATTTAGTGAACATTTACGCTTTTAGTATTGCATAAGTTAGTGATTTTGATAATCATAATGATGAACTCGAAATAAAAGCCGAAAATTACCAATGTTTTTTTGGCAACACTTTCTTCTTTCTTTTTTATTAATAACTTGTGTTTTCTGTTTTTGTGTTTTGTTCATTTTTTAAACTAGACAAAGAACAATGTGAATATTCCTGTTTTATAATAATAATAATAATAATAATAATAATCATAGGAATCTTAACAAAATAACTACTCAACTGCTTTGATTTTTTTTTTACGTCTTTTCTTTTTTGCTTAAATTATAAATAGGCCTGCAATTTGGCCACTTGCCTCTCACAATATGGCGGGTAAGTTAATGAGTCGTTGCTTTGGAACAACAAAAAAAGTAAAATGTATTTCTTTAACATCTTTCACTACTATTGACATTACAAAGTAGTTCAGACAAGCAAAAATTATTTAAAATATAGAGGCACAAAGCATACAACTCGAAACATAATTATAAATAAAACTAAATAAAACATAAATAAAAATTAAATAAATAAAATAGATAATAACAATTATAAGCACAAATTTAATCATTACTTAATTAATTATTACTTAAAAGGACTTAAAATGAATTATTACCTAATTAATTATAACTTACTATTACGTATTTATTATTATTAATAACTTATTTTATTTTTTTTTTATTTATTAGTTTACTTTATTTATTTATTTTTAATAAAAAATAATAACATAATAAATCCTGTCTGGATAAAGTGTCCCAAATTCTTGGAGTAACCACTATTTAAAACGATAGCCGCTCAAGCCCGTTTAGTTCAGTCAATGACAGAAATTATCTTAATTTTCTTAAGGTTCCTCAAATGATAAAAAAAAAAAAAAGTCATAAACTAATAATAATAATATTTTTATGACTATCAGAAAAGCCGACAGGGCTTTTATTGCACGTTCTGCAAATGTTGCGTGTGCTTTTATTTTGAAGCGACACGCCCAACCGGAAACCGTCGTGTTTTTTACTGCAGGGGCTGAAAAAGAAAAGCAGGTCGATGGTTCATGAAAAAAAGCGTTAATCTACCGAAGCAGGGTCCTAACAACGGAAGCTTCTGCTTATTCTCACATCGTGGAAACAAGGTAGTGATAACAGTTTAAATCAATGGTTCCTACCGTAGGTTTGCTTTTAGAGCAGATTAGATAGATTAAGTTAATAAAAATCACTTAATAATAAAACCGTATTGTTTTGAAACTGTTCTGTTCTTAGCTATATTAGCTAGCAAAGAGGAGTCTTCTTACATTGCCTGAAAACTTAACGTCAGGTTTCAAAGGTTTATCTGTTAATTTAACATACTGTCATTTTTTTTTCTTTACTCTCTTGATTAGTCCTTATTTTTATCTTCAGTTAATACTCTCAAACTTAAACTGTTGAGCTTTTAATTAGGTAGTCCCACCATCAGCATGTAAACGTATCCTGCTAGCATCTACCAGCTTTCTAAATATACATGGAGGCATAGAGCTGCTGATATCTGCTGAACTGTTTGTCCAACAAACTCTGGGAATTTTTAATCCGAATTGGATTTAATTGTATTTTTTTTCTAAAGTGAATTCCTTTAATGAATATCTGAGAATATCTCTGTGAACTTATTTTCATTTCCATTGATATGTATGAATTAAATCTATAAGTTTACATTGAGTTTTTTCTCTTTTCTTTTTAAATCAATCAATCAAAAATACAAATAAAGGAGGGGTTAAAGGAGAAGCCCAGACATATTCAGAATTAAAACTTTTTAAAGTACTTTAATTATTACATACTGTTCAATAAATAAGTGTTTTTTATTAATATCAATTTTCATTTGAATGTGCTTTACTGGAGGCATCCATGTTTGTCAAAGAACACTACTGCCACCTACTGGTTAGTGACGTCACGGTGCGGTATCGGCTGTTGATCAAGTCCCAGTGCTGTATCTGGTGTTTGTCACAACGCGCTATTATCTAAGTCATGTTGAAAACATTCTTCCACATGTTGGCTACATATTACATGTTTTTTCTCCCGTCTGTGGAGAATCAGGAAACGGAACGGTGAAATAACTCTTTGTTTTTCACTTTTATCCGATGTATTCCAACATCCAACTGCCATGCACAGAGTACAGTCTTTGGGGATCGAACCAGGTACTTGCAACCTTCTCAGAGCACTAGTCCAACGATCCCCATGATGTGATTCAAATGGCATCTACTGAGTTGGAAAACAACAATACCATGCATTTTCTTCTTAAAAGTAATATGGGGGATTTTCGTAATTTTTTTTAAAGACTGCCCTCTCTACTTTAAAAATAATGCACATGCACAACCCTTTACCCGCTCCAGAGAGGGAACACCTATTAAAAGTGTGCAAGAGCATGCACAAGCCCATTTCTCCTCGTGCACAAAAGTTGCTGTTCTCACAGCTCATACAACATTACTGTACCCAAACGTCCACTCTAACCCATAAATGCCTCCATCACTATATAGAACAGGGATTATATAGCGGACTTTATAGTGAATTGGATAACTGACCGTTTGGACACATGATCACTGCTTTTTACTCCCCGTTGGTCACGTAACTCCTCCTAAAGATGGTACCTGCTCCATCTTAGTTATTAGTCACCACTGTTGGGTAGCGACAGCCTATGGCGACAGCAAATCCCATAATACTTTGCGAGGAGAGCTCTCTGCAAAGCACATAGGACGGCCTTACATAAACATATCACCAGAACGATTGACAATTTGGAGGACCACATTTTTAGATGATCCACCCGGAAATAAATGATCGTCCTCAGCACCTTTATATAAACAGAGGAAGAACTGTCAGGTTAACAAAAAACTCAATTTTCTGTATGGAAAGATTGGTTAGGGCTAAAAGTGACATATTTGGCAGATGTTTTCTGCTTTCTTTGAAGAAATAAAAACAATTTTTAACCTGTTTGCATATATATGATAACTTTTATATGATAACGCCTTTAAAGGTCGTTTTTTGTTTTTTCAACTAGCATTTGTGGGGTTTAACAGTTAAATTGAAATAAACTCTTCCACACTTTATGCCCTATTTTTTGCATTCTGAAATAAAATGTTTCATTTAACCGTGTCCCTCAAAAAGATGGATAATTTTTTTCTTAAACTGCATGTTCCACGTCAAGTTCTAAGTATTAAACTTATTAGGTCCTGCTAATCCCGTATAATTTTACAGGAAATAAATGCAGAAATGTGAGGTTCAGCCAAACACTGAAACCAAAAAGTTTCTCCAAGGAATCTGTTCAACATGGAGTGAAAAATAAAAATTAAACAGGCTAAATATACTTAACAATATTATAGGATAATATCTTAACATCTATAAAATATTTACAAATTCAGATTTTTGGGAATCCAGCTACGTTTTTCTTTTTCTCAATCCAAATATTTTTGTAGTTTGCAGACAGTTTATTTGTATTTATGTGTGTCTTCCCATCTCCTCCTCCTCGTGCATTCCTATCATGGCTCCTCAGGGATTCAGGCAGCAACATTTTTGGAGCAAAACATTCCTTTAACAGACGCTGTGCCCTAATAAGCTTATTGTGGGAATTTTATCAGAGTAAAAATGTCTGCTGTTGACTTTTTAAAAAATTGACAGGGGAACACAGACTGCAGACTTGCATTAAAAACTGTTAGTGGATGATCAAAAATAGCCATCTAAAGCTGGAAACGCAGTGCTCCCTGCCAGCGAACCGTGGGATAAAATGCCATATCTCATTGTTTGTTTTAAACGTGAGCGTTTGCTTCTATCTTTGGTGTGTTTATCCCCATCGTCCTCAGAGTAATTAATATTTTATTGTTAGCTTTAGTTCAGCGTCTGCTGAGATCGCTATCTGATTTTATCAGGAAAGGGACTGGCAGAAATACTTTTTAGCCTTGTGTTGCTTGAATGCCTCATAATACACCAATGCACGGCAGCGGTGAAGTGTGATACGTAAATAAAACTGTTTCTTTTGAAATAGAAATCTGTAAATTGAGGCTCACATTTAAATTAAGTTCCACTAAGCTAGTTTCCTGTAGATCAACCAAGTTTCTTTATGCTTATCTACTAGTTTTTCACCATCTTGTTAGGAAAAAAACCTGAACTACTCAAACCGTTTATGAAACCTTGCAGCCGCTTCCCAGCCTGGACTCAAATGCTCTTATTTATGAGTAGGTTGTGGTTTTTACTTTACTTCAAAAAGCTTTAGTTACTTATGTGATAAGGAGGGACCTCTGCCCCCAAGTGGAGTATTTAGATTTCACAATGGGGGTTGAAATTTTTCCTCTAAAAAACTCGTTCAGCAACAGGAAAGTTTTACCAGCATAAAGATAGATTTAGGGTTGTTGTTTTGCTTGGAGGTTTCTTTCAGGATTTTTTTCCCGCTTTGTTCATTTTTCCGTTGCCATCGTTGCTTCATTCTGCAGACCTGCAGGGGTCTGCAACCTTTCATATCTAAAGAGCCATTTTCCCCTCAGTCCAGCACATTAAAACTCCTTTAACGCCGCAAAATACTTCATAATTTTTTATTTTTTATTTGCCTGTTTTATGGACAGTATGCTGACAGGAAAGGGGTTGTGAGAGAGTGGGAGTGACATTGGGGGAAAGGACCACTGGCCAGGTTTGAAACGGGTCGCCCGCGTCGAGGACTAAAGGCTAATTTATGCTTCTGACGCATAGCATCAACTGTCAAACCTGTCTCTGTGCATGGCCACAGAGGTTCTGCAACCGTTGTTGTGCACCTCGAAAAAAAATCCTGACTATGCGTCAGGCGGTCGCAAACCCACGCAGACCTCAAGCGGAAGTGCGCAGATAAAAAGCAGCTGTGATTGGTCCTTGGTATGCCTTTCCGGCTGTCTGTGTGGTCGTCCTTCTGGATTCTGTGCCGGGGCGCGCCATTTTTAAAAACCGAGGCACAACTACAATGGATAGCAACGACGAAAGCTTAATCGAGGAAGTTCGGAAGTACGACCATTTTTTGCCGACTCGATTAACAGAACCTGTTTGTCTTCAATGTCTAGCAACTTTAGATCCATCTTTAGATCCGTGATATCTTGCTAACGCACCATTGTTGTTTTAGAAGATAAACACTCCCGTGGTCACCACCAAGTTATTGCGAGTTCTCAAATAGGCTCCCTCTTGCGCTTAGGAGGGAAACTGCTGTGCGTCGCTAGAAATTCCAGACCGACGGAGCAGAAGCATACCAGTAAAACTGGTTCGCGACCAGACCCAAGCTACATTTGATGTGTCCTGAAAGCGCGTTCACGAGTCTATGGAAACCGCAGCAGACCAAACCAGACGAAAGTGCGCATTCAGCGTCTGCTCTGCCGATAATGCAAGCGTAGAAGAAGAAATGTGCTGTTTACCTGTGCAAAGAAAGAAACAACGAAATAAAAATGTCTGAGGACTTCAGTGTTGAGGAAGAGCATGAGTTCTTTGCCGAGCTGAATGCGCACTTTCATCTGGTTTGGTCTGCCGCGGTTTCCGTAGCGTCGTGAACGTGCTTTCAGGAAATCCTATACACTACTGTTTATGCTCTAAAAACTTTCTAAATGACTTAGTTTCGAGTAAATTCTGGATGCTACCCACTCAGGACACTTGGAATACATTGGACGAGCAGTATGGAGGAATATTGACACGTTTTTTGTGGACTTTTATGGACCTTTCTGCCTCGGGCGCCATAGACCTCCATTATTTGAATGTCAGCAGACAGCAAGAAGCCTCCCAGATCTCCAGATGCATTTGAGATATCAAAAAAATACTCCAGAGTGTTGTTCAGCATGGGGGTGAGTAGAAAATGAAGGCTAATCATGTTTTGGGTGTACTATTCCTTTAATACCTAAAACTAATACGTTTGCAGTGATTTAATGAATTTAGCGTTAATCAGTAAAAAAAATAAAAACAAATTTTTTCATTGCAATCACTGACCCATAGTCAATACTTGTTTATCCCTTTAGTTTTGTAAAAAAAAATACACTTTAAACTACCTCGACGGGCGTGTATCCCTTTAGTCATGTACAAAAAAAATATTAAGGTCACATCTCCATACACTTCATAAAACAACAATAAGTAATTAAATTGTTTTTTTTTTTTTGTACATGACTAAAGGGATACACACCCATTGAGGTAGTTTAAAGAGTATTTTTCATAATTAAAGGGATTAAAGGAACTAGCATACGCGTATGCAAATCTGACGTCTTGCGCATGCGTATTGACTTTGGGTATGCTGGTCTGACAAGAACACCAGGAGCGGCCATTTTTGCCCAAATATAGTAGCCCCTCCCTCCTGCCATCTTCCAGCAGTGACGTCACGGTGCGGTAAGCCTAGCGCCATTCTCCCCGCTTTACAAGCTAAATCAATGGGAACTACTAGACACATCTGCAATCAACAACAATTATTGAAGATTTCCAGAGGACTTCACCATTGAAATTCACCAGAGCTATAGTGAAACTGACAATGCCCACGTGCATGGCAGCTGGATGCTGGAATACATCGGGTAAAAGTGAAAAATAAAGAGTTATTCCACCTTTCTGATTCCTGATCCTCCACGGACGGGTTGGTCGTTGGATCGCCAACTTGAAGAGGGAGGATTTGCCATCGAACTTCTGGCCAGAGAAAAAACCCGTAATATGTAGCCAACATTTGGAAGAAGAATGTTTTCAAGATGACTTGGATAATAGCGCGTTGTGACAAACACCAGATACAGCACTGGGACTTGATCAACAGCCGATACCGCACCGTGACGTCACAAACCAGTAGGTGGCAGTAGTGTTCTTTGATAAACATGGATGCCTCCGGTAAAGAACATTAAAAATGGAAATTACTCTGAATTAAAAACACTGATCATTTATTGAACAGGATGAAAAAAGTTAATATTTACTTTCAGAAGTTTGAATTCTGAACTTTTCCTTTATGGCGGTTTTAGCTCTTTAATTAACTTTATATAAACCAAGCTTTTAGGCCGCTCTTCCACATTAAAGGGATTATTATCAGGACTTTTGAAGCCTTGTGCTTTTTCAGCTTTGTTTTTCGATTTTCCTTAGAATTCAGTGCAATCAAAGCTAAAAACTAAGAAAAAAGAAGATTGATAAGTGACATGAAGCTTCAGAAAAATCAGGCTGTGATTCTTTTATTATTTCCACCAGGTGCCATGAGCAGAGAGCTGAACCCCCCGACGGGGTCTCCTGCCCCTGGGGTTTCTGAGCGTCCTCCTGACAACGGAGGGATGGACTACAGGGACTGGGTACGCCGCAGCTACTTGGAGCTGGTGAGCTCCAACCATCACTCAGTGCAGGCCCTGTCCTGGAGAAAGCTCTACCTGAGTCGTGCCAAACTAAAGGCGTCCAGCAGGACCTCTGCACTGCTCTCTGGCTTTGCAATGGTAATGTCTGAGCAGAATCTCTTAACTTTACATTTGAAATTGGTTTGTTTTTTGGTTGTTCTTGTCCAGGAAGTCTGTGTGTTGTTCTTCAAACCTGTCAAAACTCTGATACATTGAAGATTGTTCAGTCTGATACATCACCACAAATTCTTGCATGTCAAACAAGAAATTGGGTTTAAGGTTCCTCTTTTTTTTTTCTTACATTGCACATATCTGCGTGAGCTCCCCTCTCTCTGACATCCGTCTTTATATCAGCACAGCTGATATTTCTGTCCAGGATGAAGTCACAGCCAAACAGGAGCAGACGAGCTGATGCTAATATGAGGAAAAAGCAGAGAGAGCATAACAGTAGAGATTGAATGAACAGATTCTGCAGAGTGGGAGAATAGAGATAGAATGGTGAAAAGGGGTCCCTATGTCCTCCAGCAGTCTAATGCTACGTTCACACCGGACGCAGCAAAATTGCCTCTGCTGCTTCCTTTCTGCTGCTTGTACCAGTTAGTTCTGACGCGCGGCTGAAGCAGCTTTGCTGCTCTGGCTGCGCGGTGCAAAAGTGGGTCTGACGCGCGTTGGGCGGAGCTACTCTATCCTTTCTCTGCCTTGCAGCTATATTTGCTGTGATCAGTGGGAATAAAGTAGTTTTAATATGTTTTTAAGTGAGAAAATCCACCTGAAAACTGAATCAGTGCAGTCAGTTCATCCAGATTACCATCCTGCCTTCCAATATTATTTCTGTCGGAGCCGCTCAGACCCCCACATACAGCGGTGCGCTGTCAGTAGGAATCCCTTTCAACAGCAGCCTCTGGCCGGGTCGCCTCCTCGCGGTTTACCGCGGCAGCTGGTAGGTGTTTTTCATCTAAATAATCTAAACTGCAGGCAGCAGGATAATAAAAGCGAACATATTCTGTCGGCAGATTTCTGCATTTTAAGTTAATTTAGGCGTTAAACTGTTTCAGAGGAGTGATCACAGCGATCTGTATTATCAGCGATGTGTCTGTCTCTCTGCCAGCTCCCAGATCAGCTTCTCTGATTGGTTGACGCAGCGCGTCGAGCAGCAAAAGTTACATTTTTCCATCTCGAGCAGCAGCGCGTTTGCGGCGCGTCAGATGCTTAAATGCTCCCGACGCGCTGCTTCAACTGCTCAGACGCGCTGCGCCTTGACGCACGTCAACCATTGACTTTGCATGTAAACTCGCTGCTTCTGCCGCGCCTGCTGCGTCCGGTGTGAACGTAGCATGAGCCTATAGCAGCATAAATATAGAGATAGCTCAGGATAACTTGAGCCACTCTAACTATAAGCTTTATCAAAAAGGAAAGTTCTAAGCCTCTTTTGACTATTGAGCCGATGTAACAAGTAAATTTCTCAACTGTGAGATCAATAAAGTTAATCAATCACTGATGACAGCAGTTTTTAGTAGAAGTGATGTTTCGACATGATTAGGGCTGCAACAACGAATCGATAAAATCGATAAAAATCGACTTTTAAAAGCGTTGGCAACGAATTTAATCATCGATTAGTTGTGTCGCGTGATTAATGCGTCATCCGCCGCCGCCGTCATCCGGGGGAAGAAAAAAAAATATGGCGGAGCGAGTCAGCGCCGCAGTTGCAGTGTTGCCAACTCAGCGACTTTTCAGACCCCTCCAGCGACTATTTTTCAAAAAAGCGACTAGCGACAAATCTGGCGACTTTTTACGCTGTCACTGGCGGCTTTTGCCTGCCGTGGGGCGCCTCCCCCATCCCAACGCCTTTCTCCCTCTCCCACATGAGTCCCTCTCAGCGCTGCAGTCAGAGCCGCAGGATGTTTACCCTCAGCGTCCAGACTGCAAATGAAGCGCTCATGCGCCGGGATTGACGGCGCAAATTGATCACAATAATTAAAATAGCCTGCGCTTTGTAAAGTGAAAAAAGTCGTAACATGCAACTTTTGTCAAAACAAATGAACATGGCACAGAAGCACCACTGTTATGACGCAGCACCTGAAAAGGAAACACGTTGGAGCCTTCAATGGCAGTGAAGAGAGCTGATCAGCAGGGTGAGCGACCATGTTTGTTTGGTTTTAAAGTGGGGAAACGTAACGTTAGTTTCTCAGGTAGCTCATCTGATGCTTTCCTTACCTTGTTAGTAGGTTACAGACAGTGATAAGGTTGGCTACTTATTTTACTTTTAATTTCATTTAAATTTGTTTAAGCAGCGTTTATATTTTCTTTATAAATAAATTAACTTGCAAATTATGAGGGCAAGGCTTTTAAAGTTTAAATCTTCTGGCAAAGATAAAGAAAAGAAGATCCTGCAATTTATGGAAGTAAAGCAGAATAAAATCCAGCAAGATCAGTAATATGTCAATTAATTATCTGCCACATTCCCATGTAAATACCTGTCTTTGGAGGATGTGTTTTTTAGCACCCCTAGTTCTCTCATTTTTATTCCAAATACAATTTATAATTTGAATCACAGGGCTATTTTTATCTCTATGGTTCAGTATTTTCTCAAGTAGCAACTTTAACTGCTATACTTTCCTGTCTTAAAAGGCAGAACTCTTCTAGTCTAAAAAAAACTCATTTGTTGAAATGGGGGGGCCTGTTGTTTGAACCCCTTAGGGGCTTTTAAAAACAAAAATGTCTTTTTTGGCGCTTTATGAAACAAAGTAGCCTATATTTTGTGGATGTACAGCTACATTTCTCATGTACGTTTGCGTAGTTTTAACACAAACATTTATTTTTCATATTGCACCAGTACAGTTAATGAGCAACCTGTACTTGTGTGCTTGTTTGTTCTGTCTAAAATGTTTATTTTGGAATAAAGAGGTTAATATAACATTTTTTTTTTGTCCGATTCATCGATTAATCGAAAAAATAATCGGCCGATTCATCGATTTTTAAAATAATCGTTAGTTGCAGCCCTAGACATGATAAAGAATTTAGAAGTTAGCTTTAGGCCTCCTGTTTAAAGGAAACTCCTAGTTTTTGTTGTTGATGTTTTCTTTTGAATGACCAGAACACGCTTTGCTTATTGAGCTCTTTTGATTATTAGTTTTGTCTAATTAGCTTAAACTTGCATGCGTAGGTGGCCATGGTGGAGGTGGATCTGGATGTCAAGTACTCTTATCCACGGGAGCTTCTCATCGCCTTCAGCGTGTGCACGACGGTCCTGGTGGCTGTGCACCTCTTCGCTCTGCTGATCAGCACCTGCATCCTGCCCAACGTCGAAGCCGTGAGCAACATCCACAACCTGAACTCGGTCAGCGAGTCGCCCCACGAACGTATGCACCACTACATCGAGCTGGCGTGGGGTTTCTCCACGGCTTTGGGGATTCTGCTGTTTTTAGCAGAAGTGGTGCTCCTCTGCTGGGTCAAGTTCCTGCCCGTAGACTCCGGCGTGGTCAAGGAGGCGGCAGCCAGCATCACCGTGAATTGCACCACAGGGGCGAAGCCTACAACCCCTACGGGTCCTAACAGCGGCTGGCAGGCGGCGCTGGCCTCCACCATCATCATGGTCCCCGTCGGGATCATTTTTCTGCTCTTCACCATTCACTTCTATCGCTCTCTGGTGCGTCACAAGACGGAGCGCCACCACCAGGAGATCGAGGAACTGCATATGATAAAGGTGCAGCTGGATGGCCACGAGAGAGGCCTCCAAAACGTGTGAGAATCTACGGCAGCTTTAAATACTTTTATGCTTAAGATGCATATTTATAAAACTGTGTCTTCTCTGCAGTCGTTGTTTACTCCTCGAAGTCACAGCGAGCTTTACAGCCAAACGGCCTCGGATTGCTAAATTATTCTTAAAGGAACGTCTTATGGTGCGTTCCCACTGGACGTGATCTGGGCGTTAAAAACCCTTCAACGGCAAAATTTGGACGCTGGATCAAACGCTGCTTTGGCGCTTCGAAGTTCTGCGCTCTGGTTGTTTTCTTTATTTACTTTGATTTGGGGGGAAAAAAGTTTTAACACGTTTTAAGCGGCCAAGTGCTCCTCCACACATATGCAGTTCTTGTTCAACCTCCAGCAAACTGCCGCCATCAGCGCTGGGAATCCCCGCTGGGAGCTCTCTGCAGGATTTCCTGCTCCCGTTCGTATCTCCTGGAAGTGAATATAAAATCTTTAAGCTTGGTAAACTGCAAGTATCAGAACATGCAATTGAATATTTTAACAGTTTTTGTTAATTTGGATCTTTCTAAACAGTTTTGCCATTTGTTGGTGAAGGTTCTCAGTCATCCAGGTCATAGTCCTTCCAAAAAAAGTTAAAAACAATCCACTGGACTTTGTTTCCAAGTTTGAAGACGTTTCACTTCCCATTCAGGAAGCTTTTTCAATTCAGCGGTAATGATCAGAGCTCGCTCTCTTTTTCTCGTACAGAGGAAAAACCTTTGCAGTTTAACCCCCTTTATATTTATTTTCCATATGCAGACAGCTCTGCAGAAGCGATAACGGCTTGTAGTGTCTATCTCGCCCCCCAAAAAAAATCCTGGATCAGCTTCTCTGATTGGTTGACACACTAGCAGTAGAAGTTCAATTTTCTCAAATTCAGCGTCAGACGCCAGAACGCTCGGTTATGCCGCTCCCGATGTTCCGCTTTGACCGCCGCTTTGACGCCCAAAGCGCGTTCGGTGTGAGCGATCTGTTAGGAAATGTAGTCTGACCTGAATACTTTGTTTACTGAGGTCAAAAGTAAAAGGTTTACAGACAAAAGGGCTATTCCATACAGAGTGCCATATATGGTCTGCCTCTAGTTTGCAGTGGGGTTGGTAGTTAAAATTAGTTTTCTTTTTAAATGAGAAAATGCCTTTTTTTTTTCACTCTGTGAGGATTTAGTTTCACAACATCTCTCTCTGTTTGGTAAATCCCTCAGGATTCGTTTTGCTGGTCTCATTCAAGCCCAAGCTTGTTTTTATGCTCAGCCAAAGATTGTTTATTGCTCCCATTATGTTTCCCATTAAGCCTGGAGTGAAGGAGGTCATGTGGTATGAAAGCTTTCAGGACAATCTGAAGCAGTAATCTGTGCATTTATCTTGCTCTGCTGGATGGAACAGGTTGCCAAAGCACATCCACCACTCGCTGTCATCCAGAAGCTGGAGCGTGTCGTCCTTCCTGAATAGAGTTCATAATAAACCAAAAAGGGCAAAAAGAATTGGAGCAAATTTTCCATATTTTCCTATAGCGCCAATTCCCAACACGTCATCTCAAGGCCCTTTCCAGTTCACCAGATCATCCAGTCAGATTGATTTAAAGTTTCTTATCTAATGAAAACCAGTTGATTGCATCGATTCATTGACTCTTCAGCAATCCCTCACACTAAGCATGCTTGTAGCGACAGTGGAGAGGAAAAGCTCCCTTTTAACAGGAAGAAACCTCCAGCAGAACCAGGCTCAGTGTGAGCGGCCATCTGCTGAGGCCCACTGGGGTTCAAGGAGACAGAAGCAGACATAGAAAAAGAAGCATAGATACAAAACTTTACTCTGCTGTTGTGCCTAAAACTGAGTTTTTTTTTTGTCCATGTAGTCTGAAGTCACGCATCATACTCTGAGGAAACTGGTTTACAGGCGCATCATTAAAAAAAAAAGTTTATTTATTTCAGTAGTTCTCACCTTAAAGTCCAAAATTTAGTTTTTTTAGTTTAGTTTTCTCTGTTTTTTTTACATGGTTTATTATGCGGCAAAGTAGTTTATTTTAATTGAGGAATTGAGTTGTTTTTAGTTTAGGCTTTTAATCAATGGGGTTCATTCTGTAGAGCTTCCAGTTTCCAGTCAGCTTCTAAGTGCTTGTTTCTATCCAGTGTCTTATAAACAGATAAACATGGCGGCCAACCACGGGACAGATGCAAACACTCTACTTGCTGTCACTGTTAAGCAAACCAGCCTTAAAGGGTCAGAACAGAAGAAGAGAGACTTGAAATGCTCCAAGACGGGTTTCTTTTCATAATTATTACTACAAGATGTGCTCGTTATCATCTCCATGCAGAGTGGCAGGAAAGTTTCTCAATGGAAGAAGGTTAGGGGCGGGGCTTATAGTTCAATCTAAACTGTTTTCCTGGCATCTGGTTTAAAACTGCAGGATCAGGAACAGGGCCTTTAACTGATCTAAACAGAGCAGCCATGTTTCTTCACACCTTATCGGGTTAATCTGGAGGGAATTACAGCTGACATCTGGACATTTCATCAATACAGAAGTTCAATGTAAAAAATTCTATGTCATTTCACCTTAAATTTGTTTTATTTTGTATAAAAAAAAAACATTTGAAGTCCAGTCTCACCATTATACAGTATCCCGTTCAGACAATCCCTCCATTTTCTCCCACTTAGTACTTGTCAGGTAGCCTGATAAACCAGATTAAATGTGAGATTAAATGTGTAATTTAGTCCCGATGAACGAGACATCAGAAAATTGTTGATGAGAACAACCCGTTGTCTTTCAAACCATCTCTGTGCCTATTGGCCAACGCTCTGACCAATGAGCGCAACTGACTGTGATGAAGTAAGTGCGACAGAAAGCTGGTCTGTAAAAGGGCGAATACGTCCTTAAAAATGAATGAGCGTAGAGCCTCTTCCTGCTCACGTTTCAACAAAAACCCCAAGTCTAATCCTTCCAAAGCTGAGTTAAATGAGAACTGTTCAATAGTTGTTGCCATCTCCTTGTTGTATTTTCTCCAGCGTTGCGCAGCTTTGTCGTCACGCCCACAAAATCCCGCCCATTTTGTATCCAAAAATTCAAAACGCATCTCTGCGATGTGATTGGCTCGCCAGTTCAAGGGCCTGGGGCATTGATCGATGCTAGACCAAACTCGCAGGCAAAAATGATTTTGGCCACTGGTGGGCGGGGCTAGTTTACTAGGCTACTTGTCAGGGTCATGGTGGGGCTGGTGCCTGTCTCCAGCTGTTTACGGGCGAGAGGCGGAGTACCAGGGTTCCCGCGGGTCCTTAAAAAGTCTTAAAAGGCATTGAATTCTTCAAAATAAAACTAAGGCCTTAATTGGTATTAAAATGTCTTAAATCAGTCTTTCGTAGGTCTTAATTTTTAAAACATCATAAATAGGATTATTTTTATTATGATTTTTTTTTTTTTTTATCTAAATAAAACGTTAAAATTGACTTTTTTTTTTTTTTTTTTTTTTTTTAAAAAAAATAACGCTTGCCATTATTGGTTCCGTCCCGATAGCGGAACCAATAAAGCGTTGTTGCGGCCGGGACATTTGGGAGATGCACCATTAACTTTTTGTCTGGAAAATATGAGCAAGTGTAAATGTAACCAAAATTGTCTCCAGCCAAGAGTTTCCTCCACGGCTAAAACCAGGGAACATACATGAGGCTCAGTGGATTTTGTGCACGAAGCGATTCAAGCTCAGAACGATGGGAATTAAGGCAGTGGAGTCGCACATGCGAAGCACGAAACACAAAGCGTCAAAATGGAGTTACAGAGAAACAGCCGGTATTTCTCAGTTTAGTTCCACCCTTGTCTCTGCAACGCCTCCACTTATCACCAAATCGAACATACTAAGAAAACCATACAAAGAAAAATAGCTGCAAAAAAGACTTAGCACTGGTTATGTTGTGGCTTTAAAACTGATTAGTTTTGTTCCCTGCTAAAACAAAGTTTGTGAATTCAGTTAAATAATTTTTCAAATATATCTGTCATTTGTGTGTTTTTAGCTTTCTTCCTGTATGGGAAGCTTTTCAAAATTTGAAACATTAGTGCAGCGGTTTATGTTAAAATAAACATTTGGGTTAAGTTGTCGCAAGCAGGTTTTTCTTGTGAAATAGGTCTTAAATTTTTATTTCAAGTGGCATTAAAAAGTCTTAAAAAGTCTTGAATTTAACTCGCCTTATGCTGTAGGAACCCTGAGTACAACCTCAGACAAATATAAAACTAATTTAGATAGAGAAGTGTTGGCCAGCTAAACATTATGACCTCCTACTGTCATGTCTGCTCTCAGTAACGGCTTCTTTGGCTGCATAAGTGTGGCGTAGCATGGAAGAGATCAGCCTGTGGTTCTCCTTTAGTTCAATACTTCCATCTTTCTCCTCCTCACGATGCTCCCTTCATTTTTCTATGAGGAATTTGCTAGAAAATAAATCACTGTGGCGATGCAATTAAAGCAGTTCTTTCCACTGTGTGGACCGATGCAAAGTCCCTGGAAATGAAATCAGCATCTCTGCCGATTTTCAGCAAAAGAAAAACAGGCAGAGGTGTTTTTTTTTTTTTTTTTTTTCTTTAAGGGTTTTTTGTAGTTGGATCCGACACAAAGTAGGAAAAATATGTTTGTTCTCAGGAGAGAGGAGATCGCTGCTATCCTTACAACTTTAAAAGATGCACATTTTGGCTCGTTTTGCAAGTTTTTGTGGCATCTTTTCCCACGTGGCCTGTATCTACCGCCGTGCTTTTGTCTTCACCTGTGCCGCACACTTGCCTGCACTCCACTGCAGAATTCTACCCGAAGGATGTGCAAAATGATAATGATGATGCTTATTCTACCCCACGCTGTCTTTTCCACTTAACTCTCTTTAAACATGCTCAGATGAAACACTCTGTGTTCAACCAGAGTCTGAGTCTGAGCTTCAATTTTTTTATTTGTTCTCCATAATAAATGGACATTTAGTTAAGATTTTAATTTAAGATTTGCCTTTATTTACACAAATACACTGTTATGGTTGAGAATTTGTGTATTTCTGCTCTCTGAGTGTTTTTAAGTAGCATAGTAAGTGCAGGTAAGTCTAAATAAAGACATGAGTGATTAGCATCACTGTGTTTTCATAGTTTCACAAATGCCTGAAACTGTTTCTGAGTTAAAGCTGCTTTTGCTGCCTGTTACAGAAGATTTAAAGGTTTGCACGTTCAAAACAAGCTCCTTACTTTTGCCTTAAAGAAATATTGCCTTGAGTTTGTTGTATTTTTATTTTATTTGTTGTTTTTTTTAAAGGAACATGTACCAAACTGTTACATTCCAAATAACAGGACTGACCAAAGTGCTACTCAGCTATTTGTTTTTATTTGTTCTTAGA